CCAGGGCTTTGTCAAGCCTGACCTTAAAAACTTCTAAGGAAGGAGATTCCACCACCTCCCTAGGTAACCCATTCCAGTGATTCACTATGCTCCTAGTGAAAAAGTTTTTCCTAATATCCAACCTAAACCTCCCCCACTGCAACTTGAGACCATTATTCCTCATTCTGTCATCTGATGCCACTGAGAACAGTCTAGATCCATCCTCTTTGGAACCTCCTTTCAGGTAGTTGAAAGCAACTATCAAATCCCCCATCATTTGTCTCTTCTGCAGAATAAATAATCCCAGTTCCCTCAGCCTCACCTCATAAGTCATGTGCTCCAGCCCCATAATAATTTTTGTTGCCCTCCGCTGGACTCTTTCCAATTTTTCCACATCCTTCTTTTAGTGTGGGGCCCAAAACTGGACACAGTACTCCAGATGAGGCCTCACCAATGCTGAATAGAGGGGAATGATCACGTCCCTTGATCTGCTGGCAATGCTCCTGCTTATACAGCCCAAAATGCCGTTAGCCTTCTTGGCAACAAGGGCACACTGTTGACTCATATCCAGCTTCTCGTCCACTGTAACCCCTAGGTCCTTTTCTGCAGAACTGCTGCCTAGCCACTCGGTCCCTAGTCTGTAGCTGTGCATGGGATTCTTCCGTCCTAAGTGCAGGACTCTGCACTTGTCCTTTTTGAACCTCATCAGATTTCTTTTGGCCCAATCCTCTAATTCGTCTAGGTCCCTCTGTATCCTATCCCTACCCTCCAGTGTTTCTACCACTTCTCCCAGTTTAGTCTCATATGCAAACTTGCTGAGGGTGCACTCCACGCTATCCTCCAGATCGCTAATGAAGATATTGAACAAAATCAGCCCCAGGACCGACCCCTGGGGCACTCCACTTGATACAGGCTGCCAACTAGACATGGAGCCATTGATCACTACCCGTTGAGCCCGACGATCTAGCCAGCTTTCTATCCACCTTATAGTCCATTCATCCAGCCCATACTTCTTTAACTTGCTGGCAAGAATACTGTGGGAGACCGTATCAAAAGCTTTGCTAAAGTCAAGGAGTAACACGTCCACTGCTTTCCCCTCATCCACAGAGCCAGAGTCTTTTCTATCTCTAATTTCTAGGTCTCCCCTCTAATAGCCACCAACTAAATTTACTGAGGGTTCTGTGTACATTGCCCTAAAACATTTAGGGTAAGTTTTTTTTCTTTTAAAAATGAGTGCCTAAAGGAAAGCTTCTAAGCCCATACTTAGGCACCTCATAAAGTGGCCAGATTTTCAAAAGTGCTGGACTCCCAGAACATCTAGTAACTCCATCGACATAAATGGGTGTCCAGCGCTTTTGAAAATCTGAACACTTTACTGGTTGCCTAAGTATGATCTTAGAAGCCTAACTTCAGACACCCAGATGTAAACATTTTGGCATATTATATAAAATCCCCGACACACACAGAGTCCAAACATTTTATGAAATAGGGAAAATTTATGATTAGATTTTAACATGTAATTTTACTTCTAGAAACTATTTTTTGTAGCCTCACGGTTTCAGCAGTTTGAACACCGTTGAGTGTGTATACAATACAAAACAAATATTGACTGATTTGAAGGCTAACAAAAGATTACACCACTGGATCCCAATTGATGAATACAAAGGCGAAATGGAACAGTTGTGTTTTTGCCTAAAACCTATCCATATTTGTTTAGCCTTGTGGACTGCTGTAGCTAAAGAAAGTTCGGAGGAAGTCCTTGTTGACATTTTATTTAAATACTGTTTGCTTTCCATTTGTTTGGCCGCTTATGTGCATACTGCCTGTTTGTGAGGTTTAATGCCTGCTTGCGGAAACCAAAGCACAAGTCCAGAAGCTAAAACTAAAACTAAAACTGGTTTGGAGGCCTGTTCTCAGCTATCAGAACATACTTCCTATCAGAGACTTCAAACCATTTTGCTTCAAAGGACAGAAGCTTAGCAGACATGTTGTGCTGTTCGGTGGAAGGGTCAGAAATGTCTCATTAAATCCCCGGGAAAAGTCCAACAACTTGAACAAATGTGATCTGCAAGACACTTTTGATTCTTCAAATGTGCATATTAAGCAGTATTTTGATGCAGCTTTTTTAGCAGAGCAGCTTGTCAGTATCTCCTGAGGCCAAGGTTAAATTCACATTTCTTATTTCTTGCTTACTTTCAGATAGGGTAATAATTTTTACTTTTGATAGGGGATAACTTGAGAACATATTTATGCATTGCAATATCATCCCTTAGCTTATGAAAATAAATGCCATGTATAAAACAAAGCTATTATGTCTATGTCCATTAAAAGGCTAACCACATATAGAAAAAGGGCCTTCTCACTTCCCCACACCAGGTAAACTTATATTTCACAATGTGCACATATTGCGTGCCAACATTTTAAAAAAAAGATACGTTAAATGCTAAATGATAAATTATTTCTTGCTGCTCTATAAAATGCTGTGTGCTGATAATAATGCATTTTGCAGCAAGGTTGATTTGTAATCAAAATCCTGACCTTTTAAAAAAAAGTAATATAAAGTTGAAAAACGTGCAGAAATGAATATGGTCTGAATTTGCAGACCAAAATGTAGGGTTTCTTCTCAGCCTTTCAGTTCAAACCAATGTTATATAATTTTAAAATCTGACAGTGCCCTGATAGGAGATGTATCTCCTGCATCGTCAGAAGGAAGAAGTAGATCCGCTAACAGGATTTTTCTAACTTTTAGAATCTTATAGCCAACAAAAAAGTGGCAACGTGTCTTGTAGTTAGGAAGATTTGGTGTCAAGAGAACTAAATTCTATGACTAATTTGCCATTAAATTACTCTGTGAGCTTGGGAAAATCCTGTAGCCTTTCTGTAATAATTATTACTCAATGTTGTAATATGCTTTGACATTTTCAGATGAAGTATACTTCGCAAGCACAAAGTAGATTTTTTTAAAATATTCAGCTGAGTTGACTGAAATTATAGAAATTCGATGAGACTGAATCAAAAGAGAGCTACAGAACAAACTAATTAAAGCCAGTAATCCTGACACTGTTCTTCCAAGATAAGAACAGTGATATTTTGTTATTAACCACATCAACGAAAAACAACGAGGAGTCCGGCGGCACCTTAAAGACTAACAGATTTATTTGTTATAAATAAATCTGTTAGTCTTTAAGGTTCCGCCGGACTCCTCGTTGCTTTTATGGGCACAGACTAACACGGCTACCCCTCTGATACTTGGTACACATCAACCAAAATACTCTGGTTAAAACTGAATACATTTGGCCATTAGAGGGCGCTAACACTACTTTACTGACAATGGAAATGTCTGGCATTGGTAAAGCAATAAATAACACCACAAATGTTGGTACTGAAAGAGTGTTTTTTTTTTTCTCATGACTTTTATGAAAGGCATTTGCTCCAGTAACAAGAATATGTTAGTGGTTGCACAAAATTCTATAAATACAGAACATCTTGTGGAATGGGAGTTGGGGGTAGGAAGAGAGAGTGAAAGGAGAATTATACTTTCTGCCTACTAAATCCAGTTTATACTTTGGGCTACTGGATCTCTTGAAAATAATGTGGAAAGATTTAATTTAGAAAAGATTAAATCTACTGTCACATTTGAAAGTGCTGGAAAAGGGGTTATACAGATTGATGAAAACTGAAATAATTATAATTACATATAAAGATTACAATTCCTTTTTGTGCAAAGAGACAAAAAGGGAGTAACATATTTATGGCCACATGGGGCTATATAGAGATTGATATACTGCACAGCATGGCTACTTGGAAATTTATGGCAAAAGCTGGAATAGAACTCAAATCCTTCTGAACCTCATGTCCTACTGATTCAAGTATAGGAAAACCTCTTTTAACTGTTTACAGTATACAGATTATGAGACAGTTGAATAGTGCCGATTCTGTCCATTATATTGCTGCAGTGCACATACACACTAGCTGATACATGTATATGTATTTTGTGTGTGCGCATGCATGCCTATACACACACAGTACTCACAGATATTTATATTTTTTTACTTACATGTTGTATATTGTCATTATCTACAAATCTATTCAGCAATGGAATTTTTGAGACACTTACAATTTGGCCCAATCTGCCTAGATTCCCATAGGGACAGCAAAAGACACCACTCTCGAAACTGGACCGTTCTCCTGCAACGTTTCAAGTTCCTTTTCGAAAGTATGGAGGTGGTACAGTGCTTAAAACAATTCCCAATAATTTCTTTGATTACTGGAAAAATACCTATTTTGGAAATAGCTGAAATATTTTCACTGAAACTTTCAAAAAAAAAATCTATCATGAGGCAGAAGGCAAGCTTGGAAAATTTCAGCCCAAATGGTTAAAGTCTAGTAAAAATGCAAACTGAAAACAGGAGGATTTCCTGGAAACGTTAGACAACAGGCATTACTACCAGAACGTAAGAACAGCCATATTGAGTCAGACTAGTCGTCCATCTGGCCCAGCATCCTGTCTTCTGACAGTGGCTAGAGCCAGATGCTTCAGAGGGAACGAACAGAAAAGGGCAACTTCGAGTGCACTATCCCGTCGTCCAATCCCAGCTTTTGGTAGTTAGAGGTTTAGGATACCTGGACCATGGCGTTGTGTCCCTGTCCATTCCAGCTAATAGTCACTGATGGACCTATCCTACGTGAACTTATCTAATTCTTTTTTTAATCCAGTTATACCTTTGACCTTCAGAACATCTCCTGGCAATGTGTTCCACAGGTTGACTGCACTGTGTGAAGAAGTACTTCCTTTTGTTTGTTTTAATCCTGCTGCCTACTAACAGTTCCACCTATAATAAGCTCTTAAAAGACCACATGATTTTTCTGCAAAAAGATCTATTTGATTTTTGTTGCTGGTCTAGGTCTAATTCTACTTCATGATACTTTTCATCACAATTTATTTTTTAAACAACCTAGAAACTTCAACTCACTGGCAATGTTTTGTTAATGTTTTTAACTTGAGATTTTTAAAGTCCTACCTGTACAGGTCTACCATCCTCTTGTCCAATCATGTTTCTCCAGTCCTGCAGAGAGCGCTGTAGGCTGTCAAGTCCCGTCTCCCAAAGCCTGACACTGCCTCCCATATCCACTGTAACCAAACCTACTTTGCCCAGTGGCGCCAACAGAACGTCTGTGTCCGAGATCTTTGACAGCCATGATGTATATGGTGAGAGAGACACTGATCTGAAAAATAAAGCCAAATATGGTTTATCTAACAGTCACAATTGACACTAGAGAAAATATTTCTGTAGCCATGGTGCCAATTTTAAAAAATACCCTTGAGCAAGATCACAGAAAGCTGTATAGTAGTGAATATGATCCATCGACAATCCAAGTGAGATCAAGACTGGACCTGGCAGTCCCACTATATTACCCAAAGCACACCACATACTCGAACTAGATAGGGTGGAAAGATGTTTGCATAATACTGATAACTGAATAAAAGATAGCTAAGACAAATGTAGCTGTATAAGTACCCTCTCTCTACAATCTATTTTAAGAAGATCAGTCCTCTTGTTAGAGAGAACAAGTGGGGATGAAATAACCAGGTCAAACAGGAAGCAAGCAACACAGAAAATCTGGAAAATAGGGAAGTTGAGCAGAAATCCAAAAGAGCATTTGTATCCTGACTGTTATAACCTCTAAGAATGACCTTCATTCAAGTGCCAGCAGCAAATTTATTAGTGATCCCAAACTTATCATGCTGGGAATTACAGGAAGGCTCAGAGAAGAGAAATAAAAGATATGATAAAATTATGATTATAAAAATATTTGGCAAGGGAAAACAGAAAAGTACAAAATAAATGGGAAAGAATACAATAGTAACTTTGGAAAATAACTTGAAATAATACGGAAAATTTCTCTAAGACCTGGTTTACACACTAAGTGGCACCGATTTAATTAAAGGTGTGAAGTTAAAATGATTTAAGCCTTGTCTACATGGCAAGTTACTGCGAGGGAAACCAGGGTGTCAATCTACAGCATACCCGCTTGCCGCACAGTAACTTACGATGTAGACACAGCTACGGTGCACTGAAGTCTTAGAGTACGGCTTGGCTTACTACTACTTGAAATCGTAGTACACCAAGCCAAACTCCAGGACTTTCAGTGCACTGTACCTGTGTCTGCATGGGAAGTTACTGTGCAGCAAGCTGGTATGCTGTAGATTCACACTGTGGCTTGCCATGCAGTAACTTGCCATGTAGATAAGGCCTAAATTGATCTGGTGCAACTTAAGGTTATATAGGTTTAAGAATCCCTTAAATCAGTTCATCTTAAATCAGTTTGTAATCATCTTAAACTGAACTGATTTAAAGACTCTTAAATCCCACACTAGGAGAGGTTGTATCAGTTTAACTAAATAGGTTTCTATCCAATTTAATTTGCATGTAAACTGTATGCAGACAAGGTTTATCATCTAAATAATGTGAAATTAAATTAGTACAGCTAAACAACATGATGGTGGGACTAGTTTCATGCCACAAAACTGTCTGCATTACCACACGCAGTAGTTAGCACCATCTATCACAATCTTAACCCAGAAGGAAAACTCTGAAACCTTGATTCAAAAAAGCATCCTTAGGTGGGTAAGAATGCAAGCATGGGCTTATGACACAATGAAATGAATGTTAAGGCTGAAAGAGATATCAGTGGAGCCCTGTTAATACCCAGAAAAATATTACTTTTCTTTAAAGACATTCTAAATTTCTTAAAACATACAAAATTATGAAGAGTGGAAATGAATAATTTGGGGATCCAGTCTGTTTTTTACTACTGTATTCTCCTGCATTGTTCACCATCATCCCACCTGATTGATCGTGCCAATCTGACCTAAACTTTGCTCTTTTAGTTTATTCTGTAACATAAATGTGCTGTTGGATGTATGCTATTGATTTTATGTATTGTTTATTAAATGTGTAGTAAATATTTCAAGAGGAATACAGTCCCATGTTAAGTTGTCAGAGTTCTATAATTTTTTTATTGTGTAATGTAATGTGTTGGAGTAAACAAATATTTTCAAGGACAGAATTGGAATGATTGATTTGTTTGGTGTTATGAAATGCGCTAATAATAGTGATGCAATAATGTTATGTAGTGATATGTAGGTCCTGAAAGTTTGTTATTTTAACTATTTTAAATATATGGTGTAGCAACTAACATACCTAGTTTTCTGTAGTTAGGAATGTTTTAATATATGTATACATTTGTGTTATAGGGCTTAGAAATTAACCCTTAAAAAGGAAATGGAATTTTATAATCTACTTGGACCTTTGAACATATTTTTGAAAACTTTAACAGGCAGAATATGCTGACACAACATGTGGCATATGTAATTTCAGACAGAAAGTTACCTTTTGGGGGATGTTTTGGGAGTTTGAAAATAGAGCTTATAATGGAAAACTAGCTTCAATCTCACTTATGAAGCAACTATCACTGCTCCATAATAAGAAGCAACTCCGGAACCAAAAAGGTTCTGAATATAAGCTACCCACCCAGATTTGGAGAAAAGACCCAAACAGGACTTTCATCTTTATTACTATGAATTCATGCCTTTTAACCTATGTGCTGAGGCCCTGCAAACAATGCATTTCCCTGCCAAATGCTCTCTACAAATTGATAGGACAAAAGATCTAGCTGCAGATTTGCTCTTTGGCTGTATATATTCAGAACTTTTAGGTTATGCAAACCATGAGAAACATGGATGAACAATCATTTTTAGATAAAACTACACTGTACTATAAATAGAAATGTAGATTTCTCATTTACATAGTGGATTCCATTAAAAAAACCTACACTAAAGAATGTTAGTGATGCAAAATGAAGCATTCAAAATTCAGGAAATAATTCCATATGTACCCTCAAAGTTCAATTGGAAGGAAGCAGAATACATTTAAAATCTGGTCTCATTCCATACATGCTCTTAACGATCATATGGAATGAGACAGGTTTTTTTAAAATCAATATAATATTTCATACATTTTGGTTATACACACGTGCAGTACCAATGAAAAGTTGGGAGACCAATGAAAAGTTGGGAGACTGTTATTCAAGGAAACCTTTATCATTGTGAAAAATGACAATTCATAAGCAAAGTATGCTTTTAAAATTATACTTTGCACTTGTTGAAGATGAATTTATTAACGTAGGCTGTCAGGTACTATAACATGGAGGCCATACAATCTATCTAAGGTACTCATATGGCCTCACAATTTTTAAGGTGTTTATCATCCAACACCCCTGTGAGGCAAGAAACTGCATTTTACAGACAGGGAACTGAGGCAAAGACAGACTTAAGTGATTTGCCCAAGATCACACAGGAAGTCTAGTGGAGCAGGAACTTGGAGCTCAGGTCCCCCTACCATCGGACTGTCTTTCCTCTCTATATTAGATCCTAGAGAGATAGAAATATGAAGACGAGAAGGGACAGATGAAAAGAGAGAAGGAAGGAAGCAAGGAAGATGAGGAGACAAAGGGTGAGACGGGGGAAGAGAGGAAATGGGGAGGGGAGAAAAAGGAGAAGAGGAAGGTGCCCCTAATATCAATTGCTAACACAAATTTTTTCCTGGGTACCAGCTAATGGATAAATACAACTTTTTAATAGAGGAGTACACCATACACAGTGGCTGAAGAGTTCTGCACATTGGAGTAAAAATTACTTTCACAACATTAAATAATCCAATAGGTAATAAGGAAACAGTGTACTGAAAACCCACCCATACGTCACATAGAAAATATAAGAAAAGCAAATATCTATTCTAAATAATAGAGCTTAATGAATTGTATTTGTTATTCCTACAAGATGAGGCTGTTTTACTGATGGAAATCAGATACCTGGGAATAGGGATGTATTTAAGTTTCTTTGAGTTAAGGTCTGTTACTTCCAGATATCCAGCTGCTTGTGGAGGAGCGATATCTGCAGATAAATACATTTGTTAAAGAAAATTACTTTAGCTACATCATTAATAAAATATTACACTTGTATCTATCAGATTAAATTTAAACATACATTATATAGGACATAACAGAAAATGATAAACTTTCAAATTAAATGTAGGTCTATACATTGCAATTATTGAATTTTATTACTGATATAATAGTCAGCAATTAGGAGGCTACAATAATAAAAGAGCAACATTGTACAGTGCAGTGGATGTCAAAACAAATAAAGTCCTGGTCACAAAAATGCCCATCAGGCATTATTGCAACCTCTACCTCATTTCTTTTACCTGTCATTGAAGATAATTCATATTGTTCATCTGACTGACAGTATATTTGTGGAGCATTTCAAAACACAGTGCTTTTAAAAATCTTGAAAATCGCAAGGTACATATTAACTGTGAGGTAATTTTTTAAATTAAATCTGCTGCCTATTAATTTAATCAGGTGACCCCTGGTTTTTGTATTGCGTGAAAGGGTAAATAAAACATCTCTACTCATTTTGTCCACACCATTGATGATGTTATAGGCCTCTATCATATTGCCCCTTAGTTGTCTCTTTTCTAAGCTGAACAGCCCTAATTCTTTTAGTCTCTCCTCCTATTCAGATCATTTATGAATATGTTGAACAGTACAGATCCTCTCCCCACTGTAAAAACTGACCATTTATTCCTACCCCTTGTTTCTTTCTTTTAACCAGTTATGGATCCATGAGAGGACCTTCCCTCCTATCCCATGACTCCTTACTTTGCTTAAGAGCCTTTGGTGGGTGACCTTGTCAAAGGATTCCTGAAAATCCAAGTATATATATATCCTGGATCACCCTTGTCCACATATTGGTTGATCCCAGCAAGGAATTCTAATAGACTGATGAGGCATGATTTCCCTTTCGAAAAGCCAGACTGACTCCTTCCCAGCATATTGTGTTCATCTCTGTGTCTGATAATTCTATTCTTTACTATAGTTTCAACCAATCTGCCCGGGTCTGAAGTTAGGTTTACCAGCTCATAATTACCAGGATTGCCTCTAGAGGTTTTTAAAAATCAGCGTCACATTAGCTATCTACCAATCACCTGGTATGCAGTAAGTTACATACCACAGTTAGTAGTTCTGTAATTTCACATTTGAGTTCCTTCAGAACGCTTGGGGAATACCATCTGGTCCTTATAACTTATTAATGTTTAGCTTGTTCCAAAACTTCCTCTACTGACACCTCAATTTGGGACAGTTCTTCAGATATGTCAACTGAAAAGATGGCTCTCTCACATCCTCTGTATTAAAGACTGATGCTCCGTTAGCATCTCAAATCGTTCAGTTGCCCTACGGATTGTTTGGCAGGCTTCCTGTTTCTGATGTACTTAGTTTTTTGCTTGTTAGATTTTGTGTCTTTTGCTAGTTGCTCTTCAAATTCTTTTTTGGCCTGCCTAATTATACTTGTACACTTGACTTGCCAGAGTTCTGTTTCTTTCTATTTTCCTCAGTACATTTGACTTTCAATTTTTAAAAGATGTCTTTTTGTTTCTAACCACCTCCTTTACTCTGTTTAGCCACGCTGGTAGTTTTTGGTCCTGTTTTTGTTTTATTTGAAGTATACATATAGTTTGAGCCTCTGTTACGGTGTTTTTAAAAAGTTTACATGCAGCTTGCAGGCATTTCACTCTTGTGACTGTTCCTAGCATCCTCATTTTCCTGCAGTTCTCCTGTTTGAAGTGAAAAGCTACTGCGGTGTGTTTCTTTAGTATTCTCCTCCTCCCCACCCCCGGTGATGTTACATTTAATTATTTATGGTTGCTATTACTGAGCGGTTCACCTGTCGTCACGTTATAGACCAGATCGTGCTTACACTTAGGACTATACCAAGAACTACCTGTCTCCTTGTGGGTTCCAGGACTAGCGACTCCAAGAAGCAGAAATTTTATCTCTGCATTCCATCCTGAGGTGACATGTTCCCAGTCAATATGGGAATAGTTGAAATCCCCCATTATTACTGGGTTTTCGGTTTTTGTATCCTCTCTAATCTCCCTGGACATTAAACAATCATGTCACCATCCTGGTAAGGTGGTCAGTAGCATATGCCTACTGCTATACGCTTATTATTGAAACATGAAATTTCTATCCATAGAGAGCCTACGTAAATAAGATTTTTACTATATTTGACTCTATGCTTTCTTTCACATATAGTGCCATGCCCCCACCACTCTGACCTACTTTGTCATTGCTATATATTTTGTACCCTGGTGTTTCCACATCCTATCGATCATTGTAATTCCAAAAACTTTCTCTGATGCCTCTTATATCAATATCCTAATTTAATACCAGGTCCTCATCTGCACACATATTTATATTTAGACTTGTATTTGTATACAAGCTTTTATAATATTTGTCAATATTTAGTTGTCTGCCTTCATGTGATGTGGTAGAAGTAAGCAGTTATTTTAAATCCATACCCAGTAAATGATGAATGCACAAGTCCATGTTTGCCCTTAAGTAGCCCTAATTTACACATCCTTGCTTTCAGACTTAATAAGTATATTACTGAAATATGACACGATCCCTTACCTATGTTTATATTTTGAGGGCACAGATCTATTTGGTATTCTTTGGAGAGTTAATTATTTTCTTTTTTTTTTTTTTTTAAATATAGCTACTATCTAAGTTACCAGTACCAATAAAATAAAGAACAACTTCTTTGTTTACTGCTGCTGGAACAATCTTGACAAAATGTATTGCACTGTGTTAGAATCTGGCTGAAGTATTTTAAATTCTTAATAGAAATGGAAGGCTGTGTGCCAAAACTGACCAGTTACTGGGGAGGATAGGAAAAGTAGGGCTACACACCAAATTCCAGTTATTTCAATTTGGCTGGATACTTAGAACAAATATTTTTTTGTTTTTTTATTATAACAAATTGCAACAGTTGCTGAATCAGCATTCTATAGCATTTGCTCATGCATAAAGCCAAGCTTACAGTGATTTTTAATGATTGTTTTATATGCAGCTTTCTTCTGTTTCACATGACAACTCAGTTTTGCAGAATAAATGGTGTGAATAAGCAACCTTCTGCTACACATACAAGCTCAGGAATGTAAGAGGCATGTATTTTATCTCTGAAATCAAAGTAGATTTCACACATCAGAATGAGTGAGTCAGCCTCAATAAAAGAATATTAATCATTTGAGTGGTTTAAAAATAAAATACACTTAAATAATAACAAAATAAAACACTAATCAATTTAAAAAGAAGTACATTACATTAAAGCAATCTGTTTTTATTAGGGAAATTTTATATAAACAGGGAAATTATAAAGTTAGGGAAATTATATATAAATTGTATATAAACATTCATCCACAAAATATAATAAATAGTCAAATGTGATTTTCCTGGGAAGCAGATAAGGAAATACAATAATATCCCATTTGGCAGATGAGGAAACTGAGGCAGATACATTAAATGATTTCCCAAGGCAACATGGCAAATCAATGGAAGAAAAGTAGTTAGACTCAGGAATTGCATATGCTCAATATAATAAAAATATTTTGTTCTACTATGCCACTTTCCATCCACAGATGCGAAGGCACTTTACAAACATTTGTGGATTAAGCTTACAACACCCCGATGACGTACTGGCACAGAGAAATGAAGTGATTTGCCAAAGGCTACACAAGGAATCTGTAGCAGATTTACCTGTGCCTGAACCTCATGAACTTCTACCCCTTCTACCTTAGAGCATGTACGTGCACAGATGGCCACAGAGTCAAGTTATTGAAGACACAATTAACTCCATTAGGATTAACTCCACTAGGATACCTATTCTGTGGGTATTCAGATGACTTAATTCCCTAATCTTACAATTTAGGATCTTTAATGTGCACTAAATTCATTCTAGAATTGGTAAAATGTGTGCAACTACCATCTTTCTCCCCAAATCCAGTTAGGATTTGAAATGTTTGCTTTCTGATTCTTTAAAGTACTTTATAAACATACAACATGAGTACTCTCCAATTAAAACAAAGCCTTCATCTACAGTTGATATAGTTGAAATACAATATATCTCTTACCTTTTGGATAAAGTTCTTTCAAAGGGACATCTCCAGGTGCTAAAATTCTGACTATCTGATTAGTAGCTAGTAAAGTCACACAATTGATTTGTTTTGCAACTCCAGTTTTACTGCGCCTCCCATAGTAAAATGGATCAGAAGGAGAAGCATGTCTGCTGTCCAACGACGAGTCTCTTTTCCAGCTGTACACCTCATTGGGAGACTGAGAGAGAGAGAAGGTAACTTGAGGATTTCAGTGAGCAAAGACTTGTATAAAGCACCCTTTAAACAAATGGTTTTGATAAGCTCACATTTCAAATCAAACGTAACCATTCTGAACAATTCTCAGTTCATGCCACGACAGGTAGAAGAGTTGGCTGTCTCTGTCTTTGAGGGAACTTCTACTGGCAAGATGTGTGAGCGTCTACTAACCTAAAAACAGCCATATTGGTTCAGACCAAGGCTCTTCTTGCCCAGTACCCTGTCTTTGGCAGTGGCCTGTACCAGACCTTCAGGAAGAGTGAACAGAACAGGGAAATTATGGAGTAATCCACCCGTCTTCCACTCCCAGCTTCTGGCAGTCAGAGGTTTAGGGTCATTCCGAGCATGGGGCTGCGTCCCTGACCATCTTGGCTAATAGCCATTGATGGACTTATCCTCTATGAACTTATCTGGTTGTTTTATGAACACATTTATACTTTTGGCCACCATAACATCCCAAGGCAATGAGTTCCACAGGTTAGTTGTGCATTGTGTGAAAAAGTACTTCCCCTTGTTTTTATTAAACCTGGTGCCTATTAATTTAATCAGGTGATCACTGGTTTTTGTATTTTGTGAAGGGGTAAATAACACTTTTCTATTCACGTTTGCCACATCATTCATGATTTTATAAACCTATATCATATCCCCCCTTCATTGTCTCTTTTCTAAGATGAACAGCCCTAATCCTTTTAGTCTCCCCTCGTATGGAAACTGTTCCATACCCTTAATCATCTTTTTCTGCCCTTCTCTAAATCTCTTCCAGTTCCACTATATCCTTTTTGAGATGGGGTGACCAGAACTGGACAAAGTATTAAAGGTGTGGGCATATCATAGATTTATATAATGGCATTATGGTATTTTCTACACCTTTTCTAATAGTTCCTAACATACTGTCAGCCTTTTTGACTGCTGGTAGGCATTGAGCAGAAGCTTTCAGAGAACTATCCAAGGTGATTCCAAGGTCTCTTTCTTGGATGGCAACAGCTAATTTAGAACCCATCATTGTATATGTGTAGTTGGGATTAGGTTTTCCAATGTGCATTTCTTTGCACTTAACTTTGAATTTCACCTGCCATTTTCTTCCCCACTCAGCCAGTTTTATGAGATCCCTTTGTAACTCCTCAGTCTGTTTCGGACTCAACTATCTTGAATAATTTTGTAGCATCTGCACACTTTGCCATTTCATTGTTAACCCCCTTTTACAAATCATTAATGAATATATTAAGCAGCACAATTCCCAGTACAGATCCTTGGGGGACTCCACTTGTTCACCTTTCTCCATTGTGAAAACTGACCATTTATTCCTACCCTTTGTTACCCTCTTTGAACCAGTTACTGATCCATGAGAGAACCTTCTTTCTTATCCCATCACTACTTAGTTTCCTTTGGTGAGGGACCTTGTCAATGGCTTCCCGAAAATCCAAGTACACTATATAAACTGGATCACCCTTATCCACATACTTGTTGACTCCTTCAGAGAATTCTAATAGATTGGTGAGGCCTGAATTCTCTTTAGAAAAACCATGTTGACTTTTCCCCAACGAACTGTGTTTATCTATGTATGTTCTTTATAATAGGTTTCTTTCAATTCTGCTGGTGTTGAAGTTAGCCTCAACAGCTTGTAGTTGCCAGGATCTCCTGTGGAGCCCTTTTTAAAAAAATCAGCATTATGTTAGCTACCTTGCAGTCATCTGGTACAGAGGCTGATTTCAGTGATAGGATTTGACTTCCAAATTTTAAAGGATGCCGTATTGCCTCTAACGGCCTCCATAACTCTGCAGTTGGTCCTCCTACTTTAAAAAAAATATTTGAGGTATACATTTAGTCTGAGCCTCTATTATGTTTTTTTAAATAATCTACATGTGGCTTGCAAGCATTTTACCCTTGTGACTGCTCTTTTTAATTTCCGTATAACTAACATTCACATTCTTGTGTAGTTCCCCTTATTAAAGTTAAATGTTAAGTGGTGGGTTTTCTTTTTTAACCCCCTCCCCCCCAAAGGATGTTAAATTTAATTACATTAGGTCACTATTGCCAAGCAGTTCAGCTATGGAAAGTTGCTCTTGGGCCCAATCCTGTGCTCCACTAATAATTAAATCAAGAACTTCCTCTCTCCTTGTGGATTCCAGGACTAGCTGCTCCAAGAAGCAGTCATTAATGATGTCTAGAAATGTTATCTCTGCATCACACCCTGTCGGTGACATTTACCCAGTCAATATAAGGATAGTTGAAATCCCCCATTATTATTGTGTTTTCTGGTTTTGTAGTCTCTCTAACATCCCCTATCATTTCAGAATCACCGTCACCATGCTGGTCATGTGGTCAGTAGTATACTCCTATTGCTATACTCTTATGACCCAAGAATGGAATTTCTATCCAGAGAGATTCTATGGTACTGTTTGAGTCACTGAAGATTTTCACCCTATCTGACTCTGCTTGTTTTTTCTTTAAATATATAGTGCCATTCTCCCACCAGTGCAATCTACTCTGTCACGCCTATGTATTTTGTTCCCTGAAATTACTGTGTCCCATTGATTTTCTTCATTCCACCAAGTTTCTGTAGGGCTGTTATAGCAATATCCTCATTTAATGTCAGGCACTCTAGTCCACCCATCTTAGTATTCAGACTTCTAGCATTTGTATATAAACACTTACACATTTTGTCAATATTTAGCTGCTTGCTTTCATGTGTTATGTTTAAAAGGATCTCTTTTACATTTGGCTGTTCCTCACTAAATACTACCTGTACTTTACCAACTTTTGTTCTATCCTCTATACTAGGATATCGAGTTCCCCCTATAATAAATTCATCCCTCACAGATATCTCCGTCCGAACCATGTCAGCATTCCCCCAACCCTTAGTTTAAAATCTCCTCTGCAACCTTTTTAATTGTACGTGCCAGCAGTCTGCTTCCATTTTGGTTTAGGTGGAGCCCATCCCTTCTGTATAGGCTACTCTTTCACCAAAAGGTACCCCCAGGTTCTAATAACCTAAATTCCTCCTCCCTACACCATCGTCTCATCCACACATTTAGATTTTGCAGTCCTGCCTGTCTATGGCCCTATGCAGGGAACTGGGAGCATTTCAGAGAATACTACTGTGGACGTCCTGGACTTTATTCTCTTACCTAGCAGCCTAAGTTTGGCCTCCAGGACCTCTCTACTGCCTTTTCCTATGTCACTACCTATAAGGCTATCTTGATGTCTCGTGAGATCTGCTACCTTCACACCTGGCAGGCAATTCACCATGCAGTTCTCTAGGTCATCACAAACCTAACTATCTATGTTTCTAATAATCCAATCACCCACCATTATTATCCTAACAACTGGGGTCCCTGTCCCCAGAGGGATATCCTCAGTATAAGAGGATATCATGACATCATCTGGAAGGTGGGTCCCAACTATGAGATCGTTTCCTTCTGCTCCAGCTTGATGCCCTGAGACTTTCACCCTCCTCAACAGCACAGGGGCTGTTGGACAGGAAGTGGGACCACTCTAACTCTACTATGTCCCGAACAGTCTCTTCTATGTACCTCCCTGTCTCTCTATGCTCCTCCAGTTCAGCCACTGTGGCCTCAAGAGCCTGATCCCTGTCTCTGACGGCTGTGAGTTGCTTGCACTGCACGCCTACATATGCTACCTGCCCACGACAAGCAAGAGGCCAAAAGCACACAAGTCTTGTTTAGGAGAGGTCAGGCTGCTGTGGACATCAGAGTTGACTCTCTAAAGCCTTTTCAATAAAAGCACTTCCATTATTAAAGATGATGCCACAAAAGATTTTTACGCCCTCGGGCCATTCAACTAGGAAGAGAAAAGGTTTCAACAATTTGATCTGTAACCAATCTATATAAAGGGGTTTATTTACAAACTGTTTCCCCAACCATGTGATACTGGCAAAAGCCATTAGGTCTGTATTACGTATAAAACTATTTAATGTCTATTTCCCAACATTCAAGAACATAGTTAAAACAAATGTATAATATACACATGGAAAACAAACCTAGTCTAATTATATAGTATTTGAAATATAAATCAGATCAAACTGAAATACTATCCGGTAAAAGTATAGAGGGAGGTTTACCTGCTTTTTTCCTAATCTATTTTAGATTTCAGAATACTAGCTAGCTTTTTTCTAATGCCAGCTAATGGTTTCATTCTCTTATTTACCCTGACATATTATATGACCAGAAAAACATTAGACTAATAGTCCTTATAGTCATGTATCCTGTCTCTGACCTTGGCAAGTATGAGTGGCTTCATAAAATGTACTAAAACCCCATGTTGGAAAGCTATTCAGTAATACTGACTAACATTTCTTTCTAATCCAAGGGAAGTAGTGGTTGTCTTATGCAATGAAACATCAGGCCTAGCCAGTGTAACTGTGGCTGATATTGTAATTATTCTTAGAAACGTCTTGTTTCAATTTTAGTAAGCTCTGTACCTTCAAGTGCTACGGCAGTGAGTTCAATGGGTTAACGTTGTTATGTGCTATGTCAAAAAGTATTTCCTTTTATCAATTGTAAATCTGATGACTTTTAATTCCAACAGGTGTCCCCTTGTCCTTTTATTATTAGATAGCAAATAGAATTATCCTAAAAACCTTCTTAATACAAATATACCCCTGTCATGTCCCTCTTGTTCATCTTCATTCTGTGCTACATCCCTAATTGATATACTCCCCCCACATATGCCTCACCCACAACTATTTCACATTTGGGGACAATATATACCTTCAAGTCAGCAGCACTGCTATGGGTACCCGCATGGCCCCACAGTATAACAACATTTTTATGGCTGACTTAGAACAATGCTTCCTTAGCTCTAGTCCCCTAACACCGCTACTCTAGTTGCGCTACATAGATGACATCTTCATCATCTGGACCCATGGAAAAGAAGCCCTTGAGGAATTCCACCATGATTTCAACAATTTCCATCCCACCATCAACCACAGCCTAGACCAATCCACACAAGTGGTCCATTTCCTGGACACTACTGTGCTAATAAGCGATGGTCACATAACCACCACCCTATACCGGAAACCTACTGACCGCTGTACTGACCTACATGCCTCCAGCTTCCATCCACGACACACCACACGATCCATTATCTACAGCCAAGCTCTAAGATACAATCACATTTGCTCCAATCCCTCAGACAGAGACAAACACCTACACGATCTCTATCAAGCATTCTTAAAACTACAATACCCACCTGCTAAAGGGAAAAAACAGATTGACAGAGCCAGAAGAGTACCCAGAAGTCATCTACTACAGGACAGGCCCAACAGAAACAGGCCCAAAAGGAAATAACAGAACGCCACTAGCTGTCACCCAACTAAAACCTCTCCAGCGCATCATCAAAGATTTACAACCTATCCTGAAAAATGATCCCTCACTCTCATAGATCTTGGGAGACAGACCAGTCCTCGCTTACAGACAGCCCCCAAACCTGAAGCAAATACGCACCAGCAACCACACACCACACAACAAAAACACTAACCCAGGAACCTATCCTTGCAACAAAACCCGATGCCAGCTCTGCCCACATATTTATTCAAGTGATACCATCATAGGACCTAATCACATTAGCCCTGCCATTAGGTGCTCGTTCACCTGCATGTCTACCGATGTGATATCTGCCATCATGTGCCAGCAATGCCCCTCTGCCATGTACATTGGCCAAACCGGACAGTCTCTACGCAAAAGAATAAATGGACACAAATCTGAAATCAGGAATCATAACACTGAAAAACCGGTAGGAGAACACTTCAACCTCTGTGGCCACTCAGTAAAAGATTTAAGGGTGGCAATTTTGCAACAGAAAAGCTTCAAAAACAGACTCCAATGAGAAACTGCTGAGCTTGAATTAATATGCAAACTAGATACCATTAAGTTGGGTTTGAATAGAGACTGGGAGTGGCTGGGTCATTACACATTGTGACGAAGTTCCTCCTCTACCTTGGTGGGTCTTGCGCTTATTGGCGGATTTGCTCGCCTTGGAGCTTCACAGCAGCCCTCAGTTTGGCCGTTTTCATGAACCCACAGTCCAGGTCAACTCCTCGTGTGTCTGACCAGGAGTTGGGAGGTTGGGGGAAACCCTGGCCCGCCCTATACTCCGGGTTCCAGCCCAGGGCCCTGTGGAATGCAGCTGTCTAGAGTGCCTCCTGGAACAGCTGTGCGACAGCTACAACTCCCTGGGCTACTTCCCCGTGGCCTCCTCCCAACACCTTCTTTATCCTCACCATAGGACCTTCCTCCTGGTGTCTGATAATGCTTGTACACCTCAGTCCTCCAACAGCCTGCGTTCTCACTCTCAGCTCCTAGCGCCTCTTGCTCCCAGCTCCTTACATGCCCACCACAAACTGAAGTGAGCTCCTTTTTAAATCCAGATGCCCTGATTAGCCTGCCTTAATTGATTCTAGCAGCTTCTTGATTGGCTGCAGGTGTTCTAATTAGCCTGTCTGTCTTAATTGTCTCCAGAAGGTTCCTGATTGTTCTGGAACCTTCCCTGTTCCCTTACCCAGGGGAAAGGGACCTACTTAACCTGGGGCTAATAGATCTGCCTTCTATTACTCTCCTGTAGCCATCTGGCCCGACCCTGTCACAACATATTGAATCTATTGCCTTAAGTTAAGTTACCTTCTTGTCAACTGTCTAAATGGGCCATTTTGATTATCACAACAAAAGTTTTTTTTCTCCTGCCGATAATAGCTTATCTTAACTAATTAGCCTCTCACAGTTTGTATGGGAACTTCCAACTTATCTGTATGTGTATATATCTTACTATATGTTCCATCCTATGCATCCGATGAAGTGAGCTGTAGCTCACGAAAGCTTATGCTCTAATAAATTTGTTAGTCTCCAAGGTGCCACAAGTACTCCTGTTCTTTTTGCGGATACAGAATAACACAGCTGCTACTCTGAAACCTCTCATTATTCCTCTAATCATTTTCATTTCCCTTTCTGGATCTTTTCTATTTCTGCTATAAGATTTCTGAAACAGGGTGACCAACACCAAATATGGTATTCATGATCAGGCACACCATCAATTCAGCCAATGGCATGATAGTATTTTTCTGTAGTATTCTCTAGACTTCTTTTTTTTTTTTAAATACAGCTTGGCATCTCATATACTGTCTTGTTTGCTGTTGTGTACTGAGTAGATGTTCACAGAGAATTGTCCATAATTATGTCATTTTCTTGAGTAGTTACATTTAATTTAAAACTTTTCCATGTGTATGAGGAGTAAGACTGTTCTTCCATGAGTAGTGCATGAAACTTATCTCCATTGAATTCATCTGCCTTGTGTCACCCAATTTCCTATCACTGTCAAGTGCTCCAGAAATCTCTCTACACTTGACTATGTTAACAAACATTGCATATTCTGCAAATTTTATTACCTCATTATTCACTACCTCTTGCAAATAATTAGGTTATTAACTATTTAGATGAACTGGTTATGAAATAAATGTAATGATCATTATTTTACAATTTAATAATACTAGTTTTACCATAAGTTCTGGGAAGCCAACAACAATAGTGGCATAATTATGCACATCCAAGAGAATCCTGTTGGGAGAGCTGATCTTCTGTCCCACAGCTATGCTTAGGTTCTCTGAAGATAGTTGGTCACTTGAAACTGTGTGCGGCACACACAAATCAGATGCTAAAGTGGGGAATCAAATGATAAGCATTAAATCCAGATAAGCAAGAGGAACCAATTATCTTTATAAGCACTGAGCGCTAATTACTACTATTCTTATCATAATTCAACAGAAATAAAATGAAGAAAAGGAGTAAAGATCTGTTTATGCTATATTGTACTAAATACAAAAAATGACGTTAAATTAACATTATTTAGGTTGCAAAGTTGAGCACTCAAAAGTTAGGAAAGCCTTAATTCTGCCAATTTCCTAGATTTTTACGGATTTTTTTTCTTTTAAGGAAAAAGCATAATCAAATTCTACGATGTACAACAGGAACAATCCCCCCACCCAATCGTGAATCATCAGCATGGTTTCAACCGGGAACATTTCGCACTGCAGCAGAGATGGATGCTACTAGGACTACAGGAATCACCGTGTTAGCTGGCAGCAACAGCAGGCTTTTTTTGATGTGGGGGATGGGTTGCCGGTTGCAGGTGGTGGGTCTGGGGACTGGTCAGGGGGATGCCCAGCCTCATGAAGATCTCTCTTGCCCCTGGGAAAACTCTGGCACCCAGTATTTACCCATCTGCTGCTCTTCTCGGTACTTCTTCCAATTCTATTTTAACTTTTTTGAGATGTGGCAACCAGAACGGCACACAAGTATTCAAGATGTGGGCATACAATGGATTTATACAGTGGCATTATGTTATTTTCTGTCTTATTATCTATCCCTTTCCTAATGGTTCCTAACATTCCGTTAGGTTTTTGACTGCTGCTGCAGATTGAGCAGATGTTTTCAGAGAACTATCCATAATGACTCCAAGATCTCTTTCTTGAGTAGTCACAGACAACTTAGACCCCATCATTTTATATGCACAGTTGGGATTATGTTTTCCAATTACTTTGCATTTATCCACATTGAGTTTCATCTGCCATTTTGTTGCCCAGTCACCCAGTTTTGTGAGAACCCTTTGTAATTCTTCCCAGTCAGCTCTGGACTTAGCTATCTTGAGTAATTCTGTATCCTCTGCAAACTTTGCCACCTCACTATTCACCCCCCTTTCCAGATCATTTATGAATATACTGAACAGCACGGGACACAGTTCAGATCCATGGGGGACCTCGCTATTTACCTCTCTCTCCACTGACCTCATTTCCTTTGTTTCTTATTTTTTAACCAGTTACTAAACCATTAGAGGACCTTCCCTTTTATCCCATGACTCCTTACTTTGTTTAACAGCCTTTGGTGAAGGACCTTGTGAAAGGCTTTTTGAACATCCAAGTACACTACTGGATCATCCTTGTTCACATAATTGTTGACTCTCCTCCCTATTAAAAAATTCTAATGGATTAGTGAGGCACAATTTCTTTTTGCAACAGCCGTACTGACCCTTCCCCAACATATTGTGTTCATCTCTGTGTCTGATAATTCTGTCCTTTAATATAGTTTCAACCAATTTGCCTGATAGTGAAGTTAGGCTTACCAATCTGTAATTGCCAGAATCTCCTCTGGAGCCTTTTTTAATAATTGGCATTACATTAGCTATCCACCAATCATCTGGTACAGAGGTTGATTTAAGCAATAGGTTACATACCAGAGTTAGTAGTTCTGCAATTTCATATTTGAGTTCCTTCAGAACTCTTGGGTGAATAACATCTGGTCCTTATGCCTTATTACTGTTTAATTTATCAATTTGTTACAAACCTGCCTCTACAGACAGTGTTCAATAATTGTGGTATGCTGGCAACATTTTTCTGAGGAATACTAGTGAGAGAAGGAAAACGGCATGTTTTAACTCAATATCTCAGTCAAATCTAAATGGAATTTCATGGGATATAGAAAAGGAACTTCAGAAACCTAAAGGGTTCTTCCTCCTGAATATCAAAGTCTGCTACAAACAATGGAGGTGTGAGATCTCCTCAAATGAAAGGTTGCAAGAATCACTTATAATGGAAAGTGATAGACAGTCTAAATAAAGGGGCTGTTACCAGCGCCCCCTATAATAGACGTTTGTGTGTGTGCGTGTGTATAGTTCTCAAAATTTCTAAGGCATTTTATTCAAACAATTCCAAGCCCACGTACAGAACTTTGCCATCTTTTTTGAAACAATGGTATGAACACCACACTACAGGAAAAGAATCAGACACAAAATTACTCAAACATCTAAAGTACCAGAATGTTGTTTGTACAAACACAGAGCTGATAAAAAAACAGAATGACACAGGTTTTACACTGAGTACCTGTTGTTAAACCAAAACCCTTGTCAACTGGGTCTTCATTCAATGCATGCAGCTGGCAAACTCCACTTTCTTCAGATACCGTATGCGCTGGCTTGGTTAAAAGAAATTTCCTGTAAACAATGCTGACTTATTAAAAAATGGTGTAACAAGAGTATTTATGTATTAAATAGTAAAAATACTTTATACTTATATAACAAGGATCTCAACATGTTTTACTTAAATTAAGCCTCACAACACATTTATGAGGTAGGTAAGCATTTATTCTCTAGTTTACAGGTCGAGAAAGTAAACCACAAAGAGGCAGATTTGCTTTCGGTAACTATTTTTACACTTTTATTTACTGTGAGGTTAAACAGAAACAGGAAAATGGAGTACTGTTTGTTCCATTACACTATGAATCAAATTAACTGGGAAAGTAGACTAATGAGCTAGATTTTCAGTTAGGCACACTAATATTTGCAAGGACCTAATTTATACAGGCTGTGTAAAATGTGGTATGAATGTGGACATAGCCAAATTTGGTCTAGATTTTCAGTGTTGCAATTTTACATAGGCTCATCTTGCACACTCACCACTCTGGATTCACAAGTGCAATTTGGGCACGGGGAAATCTGCACCTCTAAGAAATCTGACTGTAGGCACCTAACCACAGACACAAATGAAATCAGTAGATTTGTGTGTACACATCAGGCATTTGTGCAGGTAGGTTAGATGCACACAAATATTGGTGTGCAGCTGCAAATATTGCCAAATATCTCTATTTGTTCTATATTTGTATAGCTCTTAGAACAGGGGATCCTGATCCATGACTTGGGCTCCTAGACACTATCAAACAAATAATGAATTGGTTAACTTACTGATTTGTTTTGCTTTCCACCAAGAGCCAACGGTCTTCAGCCACTAGGAAAATGGATTTGAGATTGATAGGTAGTGAGATGGTATGAGTTCGACCCTCCAGTACATCCAGCACAATAAGGTGGTTTCTGTGAAATGTAAACCAAGAAAACAATTATGAAGCAGAGAATGTACGCGACAAATCTATTTTTTTAAATAAAAGCAATGTAATTTATAGTTAACTCTCACCCTTCTTCTTTGTAGAACACCAGCCAGTTTTTATGCGAAAACTCTCTGCACATTTTGTGACTGATCTAAAAAAATGCATTACACATCAATTACAATTTGCCAGGTCAGTCCCCAGTAGTTTACCCTGACTCCTTACATTTATAGTTATGCTTTTTACTGTTTAGAAAGGTCAGAAACGAAAATATTTGGCCAAGATGATCAAAAAAATGTGCCTAAAGTTAGGTTTCTAAACCCACATTTAGGCACATAAATAGGTGGCCTGATTTTTAAGAGTGCTGAGAATCAAGCAGCAATCACGGAAATCATACCAAATTTGCTAGTTTTTCTTTAACTAAGTAATTCACTCTGATAACTGCATCTCAAAGCACCTTTCCACCAACTCCAAATTCATAAAATTGCATCAGAGTAAAATGAATTACAGCTCACTCTGCTCTGGGCTCAACAGAACCACAACAGCTTGTAACAAAATGTTTTGTAACTCTTAGCAAAATATCTGAAAGGGTTTTATTGTAAAAATTACATATCCCTAGACAGCATCCTGAGGAGTCTGTGAAGGCGAGCACTGTAACAGGGTTTAAAAGAGAACTAGATAAATTCATGGAGGTTAGGTCCATTAATGGCTATTAGCCAGGATGGGCAAGGAATGGTGTCCCTAGCCTCTGCTTGTCAGAGAGTGGAGATGGATGGCAGGAGAGAGATCCCTTGATCATTACCTGTTAGGTTCACTCCCTCTGGGGCACCTGGCATTGGCCACGGTCGGTAGACAGGATACTGGGCTGGATGGACGTTTGGTCTGACCCAGTATGGCCATTCTTATGTTCTCATATTCTTATCCTTTATTTATTGCCCTTCTATTCTGTAACGATGATATATTCTGCTGGTACAAAACTGAGAATTCAATATATATATATATATATAATTCTCAGTTTTGTACCAGCAGAAAATATATATATATATATATATATATATATAAAACAGTACACAATCTGTTTGTTCCATAAAAGATAGAAAGGAAGCTATCCTGCTATCATGTCGGTAATACTGAGCTCTGATATGTTTGCTATAGTCTAGCCAGGAAGTTGCTGTTCCTCACCGGCTCCTCCTTGTTGCCCCACCAGGATGCTCTCTTTGGAACTTCTTGGGTATCTGGTGAGAGTAAAAGTCTATGCATGGCACCAGTTTTCGTATCCAGCAACAAGACAACATTACTCTGTAAACAGAAAAGAGAGCATTACGCCCAGTCTTCTTAAAGCTCACAGCAACAGGTCTACATGAAGTGTATTTGTTCTTTGCAATTGAAGCCAACTAATATCACAAGGAAATTTAATTTCAAAATTAAAATTTGCTGGAAAATTGCAGACTGGATCCTCTGGTCTAGTAAATCTGATCTCAGTGCAGAACTGATGAAGTAAGGCAAAGGTACAACTTAACTGACAATGGTTGGTCCAGATGAATGGTCCTATTTAAAGTTCTATAATGTTTTATTCATGCTGAAAAAATCAAATTTGTTTGTTTACAGGGAATTATGTAAGTCTAATGTCAATTTACAGTGGCCTACCATGATTTATGCAGTTAAGGCTTAAATCATCTGCAGCAGCCATTTGCAGTCAACTACACAGAAAAGTCTTACCAGCTTTGCTTCTTCTATCTTACTAAAAGATTTGCTGCAACTCTTGTGTGTTTCCTTAACATTATGCTAGAAAAACAGAACCCCTGGGCCCCTGTCATAAATATAAAGGGAAGGGTAAACCCCTTTGAAATCCCTCCTGGCCAGGGGAAAGCTCCTCTCACCTGTAAAGGGTTAAGAAGCTAAAGGTAACCTCGCTGGTACCTGACCAAAATGACCAATGAGGAGACAAGATACTTTCAAAAGCTGGGAGGAGGGAGAAAAAACAAAGGGTCTGTGTGTCTGTCTATATGCTGTTTTCTGCCGGGGATAGACCAGGAATGGAGTCTTAGAACTTTTAGTAAGTAATCTAGCTAGGTATGTGTTAGATTATGATTTCTTTAAATGGCTGAGAAAAGAATTGTGCTGAATAGAATAACTACTTCTGTCTGTGTATCTTTTTTGTAACTTAAGGTTTTGCCTAGAGGGGTTCTCTATGTTTTTGAATCTAATTACCCTGTAAGATATCTACCATCCTGATTTTACAGGGGGAATTTCTTTATTTCTATTTACTTCTATTTTTATTAAAAGTCTTTTTGTAAGAAAACTGAATGCTTTTTCATTGTTCTCAGATCCAAGGGTTTGGGTCTGTGGTCACCTATATAAATTGGTGAGGCTTTTTACCAAACCTTGTCCAGGAAGTGGGGTGCAAGGTTTTGGGAAGTATTTTGGGGGGAAAGACGCGTCCAAACAGCTCTTCCCCAGTAACCAGTATTAGTTTGGTGGTGGTAGCGGCCAATCCAAGGACAATGGGTGGAATATTTTGTACCTTGGGGACATTTTGACCTAAGCTGGTAAAGATAAGCTTAGGAGGTTTTTCATGCAGGTCCCCACATCTGTACCCTAGAGTTCAGAGTGGGGGAGGAACCTTGACAGCCCCCCAAATATTTAAAGTATATGGAAGTTGAAAAACTACTATATGGAAAAAGGTTAAGCTAAAATTTGATCTTATTGCGTGACCCCTGTAGCATCGCTTTAAATATTTCTTTTTAAAACATTCTAAAGTTGTTCCTAAGGCATTAAACTTTTAAGGACTCGAGAAAATGATCACACACAGCCAACCTTAACTGCTCTAAATTAAATTTTAAAAGCTACAAAAGAATAAGCTAATTAAGTCTTGTATTTCATTACTTCATTAATGTCTTGGATCTAAATCTTTGTCATTCAGTGAAACGCTACGTTCCTTCAAGGTTTTTTTTAAGGACATATTAAAAGTCAACTGTATGTGTGTCTAACATCTGAAGTAATACACAGTGAATGACAAAGAATTAAAAAGGTGAAGTCCGTAAGATTCTCCTAAATAAAATACGTACTAACTCAATCTGTAGGTTATTTTTGCAGGTTATTTTAGAGCAATGAACTTTTCATTTTTAATGAGAGCTTACTGTAGCTAAATATGGTAAAACATTTAAAATATTATCATGACATTTGTAGCATTTGGAAAATTCAGCTGCAGCTCAACTCTTCTAATAAAAGAAGAATTTGTTAAATGCTCACGTATTCCAACCCAAATTATAGAAATGTGGCCCTGGAGAGGGTTTGTTTTGGATTTTGGTTTTCTGCCATATTGTATTTATATACTTCTGCATCAGCATAGCTGACCTGAAGAAATGCATTAGCCTTCCAAGAAACAAAAATCCCCATATGAATCAGTTATGTTCTGCTACTTAGCATTAAGTTTATAGGTGTAGTTCGTAATATAAAAAGCTTCTCTACTCCACCCCTTTTGATGTTAATGGTTTCCTTCTGTGCTAAGTGACCGATGGCATATTCTGTCTGTGTTTAATAATAGAATTTTGCGTCACTTGTGAACACATCCAACTGCAGTTCTGGCAATCCTTCAAGTGGGATGGGAAAAGATGGTGATGTGCAGTTCCATTATGTTTGTTCTCGACTGGGAGAAAAGTAACCTTTGAGTGACCTCATGACCCTGATGTCTGGAATTCCAAACTTTGGACAGATGTAATATCCAGCCTTGTGAGTGGCGTTCTTTTATTTTTAGTGACTGCAGTTTTCCTTTCCTTACTGCTGCTTTTATTTTAGTTAGGATTTTCCTCTTAAAAGTCCTTAAACCAAAGTGGGCTGTGATTTCACTGCCAAGTGGAGAAGCTGTGCTCAATTCTTGTCGGCATAGTGGGGAGTAGGGGGGAGCGGCCACAGATAAAAGTAATAATTTAAATATTTAACTTTAACTTACTTCCTCCTTTTTAACCATCTTTCTTGCCCGCAACAAAATTTCCTGTCCCTTGGTCCTTAACTCCATTCCCAGTTTCTCCCTCTTATATGCCTCCTCTCAAACACAGCCATGCTCACACACACAGTTTCTTCCTCTCTTGTCTTATATGCCCCACCCCCTGGAAACACATATATGCAACATATTGAAATATTCCTCCCCTTTCAGTTATAGATGAGACTTTCCTCCTGGCTTTTGGGCCTTGCAAAGTAAACTGCTCCCTACAGTGTGTGCTCCCAATGCCTCCCTTCCACAGGCAGCTTCTCCTAGCACTGCGACCTGCAGACCTGCACATCTCAGGTGACACTGACACATTTAGCAGCCCTGTCACTGTATATCCGTAAAACAGAGGTAGAGAAAGTAAGTGCAAGAAGTCTGTGTAGTGGATTTGAAGGTCCTGGGTTCCAACCCTGCTGAACTCCGAGCTGGGAAAAAAACAGTATATGACCATGTAACAACCACAATGCATACACAAAAGGAGGCGGAGGCAAGGTTCACTGTAGCAAACAGAAAACCGTTTTTTCCCAAACTGTGGATATTTATACACACTTAGGGTTTGTCTACACTGTGCGGTAATGCACTCTACAGGAACTTTTAGTTCCTACCAGCAGGGTCTGCACGGACCAATTAATGTACAATCCTTTTGTGTGCTTTAGGAATCACACCCCTGTAGAGTGCATTACTCCACTATGTAGACAAGTCCTTAATGAGCTTTTATATAACACTTATTGTTTGTAAAATATAGTGTGAGAACCTTGGAATATTTCTAGCTGTTAAAATGCTTTTATATGGCAAAATGTTATATTTAAGAGTAAATTATTATGATGGGTTAATATCAATTTTATTGTTGTATTTCTACAGTTTACATTTCAGTTAATGGGAGCTGTCCCTTTAAGAACAATATGGGATGGAAGTACAGAACAATGTGTGGGAGATTTGGTCTCTGTGTCAACAGAGTCGAAGTCCTCACCTTGTGCAAGATCCAAAAAGGTCAGAACTTGATTTAATCTGTGTATCTTTCAAGAAAACAAATCTCATTCATGAAGGTGTAGCATCAGATCTTACCGGGGGACTGGATGCCTCAGAGCATTGCTTATGGGCTGCAAACCCTCCAACCTGTAGATCACCAATTTTAATCCAGACCAGATTACTATGGATTAAAAACTGTTCCCACCTAATGGATGTTTGGTGGCCCCCCATTATGTGATGAGTTTGGTGAGTTTCAGTTTCAGTTCCAATGTCACAAACTCACACTATACTCTGCACTAGTTGGCAGATTCAGCAGAGGGGTCAAAAACCTCATGGGCCACAGAGATTGAACTACCCCTGCTACTCATAGAGCAAGTTTCTTCCACCGCATCCTCCAGACAAAGATCAAAGTATGCTGGCAGGGCACTGTGTGTGGACAGCCTGTCCTGCTGATAACAGGAACTTCATTTACTAGGATGCTGAATCAATGCTTTTTACCAGTACTAAATCCACACAATTTTTTCTAAAACAGAAGTTTATTGTTACAGATACATTGGTTCTAAATATGCAAATAATCTAATTAAATAATTTGCATGTGGTTTGCTTCACACACTCAACTCCACAAAACTTACCCACTATCTACCTGTTACCATTCAGACTGGTCAGCGGCATTGGGTGCATTCAGAGGGGAAACACTTGGTCTGTGAGTGGGAGGGTACCCTGCAGTTTAGTGTGGTGGCAAGGAACACCACCACCACGCTATTTCCCTGAAGAGCTGAAGGCCTCTGCTGAGCACTCTGAACTCCTTCCCCCACGAGAGCCATTATGGATCTACCACCAAGAGTCAGCTGATAAAGGGGAAGCCCTCCTAAATTACCAACTGAAGCATTTGACATAGGAGAGATTAAAAAAGGGCCACGCTCACCACTGAGGTCCTGGTCCTCAAGCCATTCAGTAGAATGAGAGTCTCCCATCCCTCTCCCAAGGAAATGTGGGGGTAGTTTAAAAGTTGGTAATCCCTACAAATATGCAATTAAGTTAAAGCCCCCAAAAAGTACACTTTAGTAACATTTTATTTAAGAAAGGAGGAAGAAATTAAGAACTTTTATTTTAGTGCAATGCTCAATCCAGATGGACATTATATGAGAAAAAATAAATAGCAGCAGTTTGTCTGCACAGCCATAGATATGGTTGTCTCATCCTTTCCACTATAATTATCTATTTAAGCGTTTTATAATTGAATCATAAATGTTCATCTAAAAATGTTTTATTAAAACAGCTATTTGGAAAGTCACTACTTTGTGATACTAAGTACTGGGGTATTTTAAAAACAAAAATAACAAAAGGGGAAGCAGAGATTTTATTTTATTTTTAAAGTGGTTTTTGTTTCCTTTAAGATTTTAGCATTTTTGGGCCCTTCTTTTGCAAATACTCATAACTGGAGATCTGGTTTACATAAAAATACCTGGTATTTATTATAGCACTTTCTATCTCCAAACCACTTTACCAGTGGTAGCTAATCCTCACAATGTCCCTGTAACATTGGTTCTGTATGTTATTAGTCTCCCTTTGCAGACACAAGGAAGATGCAAAACAGAAAAGTTAAGTGACTTGCCATAGGCCACCGACAGTCAGTGGCAGAGCTCAGATTAGCACTCAGAAGTCCTGTGCTTGGTTCACTATTTGTTTTCGCTTCTATGATGCTTATCAACTCACAAATATCAATACATTTGGCCTCATTTAGGTAAGTAATAGCATCATTCCCATTTTACAGATGCACAGAAACATTAAATGACTTGCCCAGGACCACCTAGTAAGTCTGTTGCAAAGCTAGGTATAAAACCTAGGTCTCCTGTTTTTTAACCTCACAGTCATCCTTGTCCACTAGATTACACCTACCCTCTGAAAGTTTAACTGAACTTTACTTGAACTATACCAAATTCTTGATTCTACAAATTAAGGCTGAACTGGCTTGCCAGCAATACTATCAAGCCTTCTGGCCTATGGTTACAACTAGAAATATTTCAAGATCAGATGGATTCTCAAAGTGCTATATTTTTACACTTCTCAGCGGGGACCAGGAGTGCAGAGATTCAAAACATGAAGAAAAAGAAAAAAAAACCTCTCTCTCTCTCTTTATTTTTTGAAGCCTTAAGGAAGGATTATTTCACTTCAAGTTAAAAATTCTGGATAAAAGTACAAGCTGTGTTACCTGACTTGTCCAATTTGCCCACCTCTAGCCTTCAAAAACCAGGAAAAAATAAAAAGAACTCCAAATGTAGCATTTTCTAAAATCTCCTGATTTTTTTGACGTGGACAATACTGTCTTTCCTTCCCCTTCCCATGTCAAAAGTTAGGTGTGGAAATGCCAGCACAGGGACTTCCTCATCCTCCTGGAAGCAATAGGCTGAACGAATGTTAGCAGTAATCTGGGCCCTGCTCATTCTGCCTGATATGAAACTAAACAGACTAAATGAGCTGTGAACTAAGGGAGAGCCCAGATCAAAGCTTCAGTTCACACAGCAGTGGCCATCAAGGCAAAACCAGGGTCCAGCCCACCAGATAAATGCCCGGTTCCTTGGTATCCCATTTTGGGCCTTGCACCGAGAAAATTATTAACCTGGCTTTCGACTTGTAAAAAATTAAATAGAACGATAGGCAACAATCCATGGTGATTAATAATATGCTACATGAGTGGATCATACTCCTTAGTTTTTATGCATAAAGTGCAAGAAACTGATTGTTATATAAAGGTTAAGTCATTTTTGAAGGGATCCTAAACATACACAGGCTCTGTAAATCCAAACTGTCAGTTTAATGAAGTATATTTTAAGAATCAGTGAAGATCTATTTTAATATTAAGTTTGTATATGAAATCCTAAGATAATGCAAAACACACAGTAATATTATTGTTAGTATATTATTTTTCAGCATGATAATTAGGTTTATTTTTAGAATGCCTTTGCCCAATTGTGCAATTGCTGAGAAAGACATGGCTGAAATTGCTAATATTCAAAGAAAGAAATGGTCAGAGAAAGAAAAGAAGGTTACAGCTGAACAAAAGTCAACAACAATGGTTCGTTGACCCACAGTAGCCAACCTACAGTACAGTCTTTATATCAGATTTTAATTCAGGCTTTTATTGAAAAATGTATCCCAAAAGGACAGACATTATCACGGTGTAAAACCAATCATTGAGTTAACTGCCTAAGGTTTCACAGAAGCCTTTGATAAAATATTTCCTCCCTCCCCCAAAGAGATTCAATGCTACTGAAATTTGGTTAAAAATAATACTAAGACAATTATTTTCATTTTAGGAATTTCAGAAGTTTAGAAATACAATGGGAGAGTATTGCTAGGTTCTGCCTTCAGAAAATGTCTAGTATTCTAAATGTTCTCAGGTACTCAAAGCACAGGATCAAGTGCCATCTGTTTTATAATTTCCTGTACTGACTTTAGTCATGGAGGGCAAAGCCTTGTTTTGAACTGAACAAACTTGTTATGAGCTTCCCAAAATAGCTCAAATAGTACTTTTACAACTAATCAAGATAATTTCATTGGCAACAGTGAAGGAAGTTAGCTTTTGGATGAGAATTGGGAAAATGCATTTCTAGGAGGCCAATTTAACACGGATATAGGCAAATGCAATTCTTCTGAGATCAGTAACAGGTTGCCCCTGCTTACATATGCACTGAATTTAGTCATAAGTCTGAGACCAGTAAAGCATGCTTATATTTAGGCTACGACAATATGCATGGCTTCCTGGGATATTAAATGTGTATGAAATATTTGACACCTCATCAGCTGTGTTGTTAATGGAAATTTCTCATTCTCTCTACTAAATGCAGGAAAGGTTCCTCTGAGCTTGCTAATAGCCACTGGGAAATGAGGAAAGAAACCAAGAACCAGTAGGAAAAAAACAAACAAACAAGAAAAGGAAGAGGGAGGCTGGTGACCAACAATAATGATAATTGTTAATGCTACGTCTCATATCACTTAGGAATGTAAACAGGACGTAAGACTGGAAGGGACCTCCTGAGCCATTCATTCTAATCCCTTGCTATCGCAGGTAATACTATCACATAACCACATTCATAAATTTATCAAGGGCCATCTTTAAATTAATTGACTTCTGCTATTGGAAGGCTGTTCCAGAATCTAACTCCTCAAACCTTCTAATTTCCAGTCTAAATGTTTTCATGGCCATTTGTGTTTGTTTCAATATTGCTATTTGGCTTAAATAACTTTTCTTCCTTCCTGGAGTCTACCCCCCTCAGGCATTAATGGGACACGATCATATTTATTAGGCTATTATTATAACTCATATTAATACTTATTCTTTTTTTACTCATGTCAGCATCTTGGTGGCTGCTCTCCCATCCCCTGTAAAAAGGTGTTAAATTGAAAATATTCTAATCAATTTCTAATAGCAGTTCCAAATAAGACTACTGAAGTGATGGGCCCAAACCAAATAGATCTGACACTGAGAAAGTTAGAATCCATCTCTACAATGTGGTTTACACCACCATCTTGTTTTACCCATCCATCCTACTCTCCGTTTTGTGTTCGCACAAAACTCACGCTATGGAAAGGAAAACATCACGATACTTAATAAAAAACAATGGTAGCATGAACAATTGTGATTCAGAAGTCATTTATTTTTTATTAAAAGTTCAAAAACTAGAACAGGGATGAGCAGGGCTTGGATTTGAATACACAGCCTAAAATAAGGTAGTTTAGACTTAATAAATTTCCTTTGCTAATTTGAGACTCCCAAACTCAAATCATAATCTCCTTTCTCCCCCTCCAATAGTTCTCAGTCTACTTTTACCACTAACAGGATAAACAGGCAAATCTCAGCATTAATAATGCAAAAGTACATAAAAACATACAGTAAACCAGCCTAAACACCGCAAGAAAAAGTAGAGCAGAGGGACCCCCTCCAAAGGTTTATTAGACTAAGTGCAATTAGACTAAGTATCCAGAAGCGTGCATATTTATCTCACAACCTACAGAGGCTGAGGAACCCCAGGGATCCTACTTTTGCTGTACTACTTTCCTCACAATGAAACATGAAACAGGAGGATTTCTATTTATTTATTTTACCTGCTCTTCATGCAAAATCACTTGCCCTTTGAGTGGATTTCCCAGAGGTGCCACAGTCACAAAGGGTTGCCATATACTTCCAACCGTTCTTGGGAAGATGTCATAACAATCCACAAAGTATCCATTTTTACTAGATACATTCATGAAATATAAGGAAACTGGATTGCATGTAGCCACATAGAGAATATTTTCAGTCTCATCTTCTGAAATAAGAAAGTAAGGCAAAATTAATGAAAGTAAAAGACGCTGTCATGATTCAAAATCATGTTAACCAGCAGATTAACTGGAAACTGAATGATAAACTATTGTGGGAATACAGCAACATATTTAAAATAAGTTTATACTATTATGTCACATATATCAATCAAATCAATCAATCCATGTAGGACTATGTGCTACTCTTAACCTACAGCAGCATTCCTATGATGACAAAGGGAATTTTGTACATAAATCAAGGATGCAATGTGGCCTATATGTAAACTAAACTTTTAACCGTCAAGTTGCTACCTGCTTCACACTGACTAGTTACTCCTTCCACAAATATCCCAAAAGATATTTGAGTAGCAGACACAAACCTTGTTTGCCATCCAAATCAATTGCTAAAGACTCTAGTTCTATGAATCCTCATAACCAGAAACCTATACAGCATACGCAAGTTTACTTATAAAAAAGAAAAGTTTATAGGAAAGAGAAAACTGTAGTAAAAGTTTTCAGATGCAGACTTTAAAATGTGTCCACTTACTGGAACTAAAACACCAGGTCATTTAATAATTATAGACAAAAGGAAGGAAGTTTCATGTGGCAAGGGAAACACAACAGTTTTTGACTCACTTTAGACATTTCTGAGTATCAAATTAAAACTGTAATTTCTATTAGTGTCATCAAAAAATTGTGAACATGCTTAGAAAGTGAAGCCACAATCAGAAAAAGGCAGCGTTGTCAGTTTTCATAATTTTAATGTATTTACAATGTAAAATAAATTACAGTCATAAAATTTATTACATTTTATAATATACCATAAATAATGGTCACAAATATCAATAATGATGTGATGTGCCTTGGGGCATATCTATATCTATATCTTTCTATTTATAATGTAGTTAAATAAGGAAGGATTGATTCAATAAGAAAGGGTATTGATCAGCATAAGCACCAGAAAGAAAGCACAGAACTTTGCATGCTACAAGTCTTGCATTTTAACTGCTTTTAATTAAGGAGGGGCAAAGTTAGAAAGACTTTTTAAAATTAATTTTGAAACAATTATTATATCAGTGGTTCCCAAACTTGTTCCGCCACTTGTGCAGGGAAAGCCCCTGGCGGGCTGGGCCGGTTTATTTACCTGCAGGGTCCGCGGGTTCGGTGGATCGCGGCTCCCAGTGGCCGCAGTTCGCTGCTCCAGGCCAATGGGAGCTGCTAGAAGTGGCGCGGGCCGAGGGACATACCGTCCACCACTTCCAGCAGCTCCCACTGGCCTGGAGCAGCGAACCGCGGCCATTGGGAGCCACGATTGGCCGAATCTGCGGACGCGGCAGATAAACAAACTGGCCTGGCCCGCCAGGGGCTTTCCCTGCACAAGTGGCAGAACAAGTCTGGGAACCACTGTATTATACAATATAAAAATTAGGCACACTTTGAATTACGCATCTATATTCCTTTTAGAGCCAAATCTCCTTCATAGTTTACATTATCACCAATATGTTTTAATGGAATTATACTCCTCTTTCGTGATTGATGGTTTTAGCATTTTGTCTTCTTTTACTTAAAAAAAAAAAAAGTTAAACACAAAGAAGAGAAAAGCAAGCAATATAATTTTTTCTATATCTCATGCAGGCCTCACAGTACAGGTTCCCAGAGATGCACTCTCTGTGTTACTGTGCATACACTCAGTGCAGAATTTGTAGAGTTTCTTTTTTTTATTGCCATTACAAAAATGTGATATTCCTCTTGCATATGTCAAAAAAAGGGAATACAAACTACATAGTACTGACTATTAATGAACAGGTATGATCTCATCTGTCCAATTCCGCATGGTCTCCAGTGTAACTTATATCATACAACAACAGGGAGGGATCATTACAAAAGTTACAAATATTTTACTGTACCTTCTGCTACAGCAACATCACAGACGAAATTAACCTCATTTAATGGCAGTGTCCAAAAAGCAAGTTCTTCTGTGAAACTGAGGGACCTTGCTTCATGCCGTTCCAGTGGAAATCCCTGAACATTTAAATATACTGGACCCTAAGAGAAAATTATAACCATGAGGAGTAGGTATTTTATTTCACTCACCAACCTTTATAAATGCTAGGAGTTTTCCTAAAGATTTCTATTGCTTTTAGCACTAAATGCCAGACCAAGCATTATAAACAAAAGAGAAAGGCTTATATTTGGGAAGAAACCAGATTGCTTTTTCTGTAAGCCCTCTGTATCCCACCTGGAGCCCTGAAGATCCTGACACCATTTCCCCCATAATATAAAAGCCACACTGTTGTCCTCTCTTTAGGCTACGTATTTCAACTACTACATCCATCTAGTCATGGCGGACTGCATGGAACTTAGTATGGAACCATGATCCTTAATCCCATGGAGGAGAGGTCACATTGCCTGGAGTGTTTCTGATCAATAATGAAAGACTGGATCACAGTGCATATGTGCAAGGAAACAATTCTGAATTTCTTGATTATGGAAGGTTTAAAATATCAAACAACATTACAATAACAGTTCCCCCCTGCCCCACTGAAGTAATAATTAATAAAGACAGGCCAAGAGATTGGGTTTGTAGAGGATGTGGATTAGGTTCAGGTTGGAGGCCAAATCAGACCAAAGGTTCAGATTCAGATTTGAGAGAGAGAAAATTTCAGAAGAATTCAGCTGCACGTGAAATGAAACTGGAAAACAGGCTCCTTCCCATTTTAGATCTCATCCAGATGAGTTGTGATCTGGGGATTGAAACCGGACCTCCCCACATATCCATGCCTGTTTCCAGGCTTCTCTAAAAATGACATTGTCACCTTCATAGCAAGAACTCTGCAAGAGCTTTTGAACTCAACCCTGCAAAGTCCCTCCACCCCAGTACTCCTTTCAGTATATATCCTGCATATGGAGGGCTCACAAGATAGGACCCCACAGCAACTCAGCTTGCAGTGTGAATGCACAAAATAGTCTACTTTTTTAAACTGTACAATTAACAGCTTTTATTTTGTTACAAAAATCAACTCAGATTCTTCTTTCTGCAGGAAATGAGACATCTTATATTTATTAAATCATAATCTGGGTGATATTATATTGCTGTAAAGAAAAAATGACTAATCAATATTTTTAAGCATTAAAAAGAAGACACAGACCTTTATATTTAACTGATGGGTTTCTGTTGGACACAGTAGTTTCTGCTGTGCGTTCCCTGATTGATTGATTCTCCAGTAGCCCATAAATGTATGGTCTGGCAATGGTAGCCTGTCAAACAACATATGAACAAAGAAACATTTATCCCTGTTAATTGGCAATGAACAAGGGATACGTCATTTAACCACAGAGTTTTTCCAAGAGGCTATTTTGAAGATTCTCTTGTTGAAAATGCTCCCTTGCTGAAACATTCAATTTCTTTCAAATGGCAAAAATTTCAATTTTTTGAAACACAAATAATCTCAGGATTTAAAAGACCATGCTCTGAAAAGAAAAGCTTTAAAAAGTCTGAATTGTCTGAGCTGTATAGCAAAGCATATTCAGTGCTCTCTTGATCAGCTTAATTCAATTCAAAGAGGATGCCAGAATGAGTGGGAGGAGCTCTTCTAAGTGATATTTTCCTCTAGGAAAAATGCACAATGAGTACAGTAAATGTTGTACCAGGTTATTGCTGCAAGAAGGAGCATTAATTGCTGTTGTATGTTCTCCTACCCCCAGTGGGTCACACAGTACAGACAATGACCGTATGCTAACTGCCTATGGGGCCAAAACTAGCCTCTGTTTGCCAGAAGCTGGGAATGGGCGACAGAGGATGGATCACTTGATGATTACCTGTTCTGTTCATTCCCTCTGGGCACCTGGCATTGGCCACTGTCGGAAGCCAGGATACTGGGCTAGATGGACCTTTGGTCTGACCCAGTATGGCCTTTCTTATGTTCTGATGTATCACAAGAAAGTGCAGACGGATGGTCCTTCTGTATGACCTGTTAAGGGTATCTATATGGCAGGTGTAGGGTTTCTCATTGATGCTTAGCCTCTACTACTTTCCACGGTTACCTGCTCACAACACAATCTTTGCCAATCCTGCTGAAAAGACGGGGTTAATTTGCCTAAACTTGAACGATGTTCTTGACCTCATTTTTTTCCATTTGTTTTTCATTCAGGAAGAGAACATGTGGGCCACTGTCAAAAATAATTTCTGTAATAACTGAAAATATTGGTATTGATAAAGCAGTTTCACAGAATATAATACACACATTTTTGTTCTTCCTCTACTCTCTCTCAAGTGATTTGCAACTACTAATAAAATGATTTAAAGTTTTGCTAATGCAGAATAATTAAATTAAAACCAATGAACTGATATGCTAAGATACAGTATCAGAAAATTTCCTTTTGGTCTCTCTTATTTGGAACTAGTTGGCACATAGCATGTATTTAATTTGCTTCTAGCGTAAGTAAACTGAGAGCATGTGCAAGATATTTCTAAACACTATTTAAACCTCTTACGTTATTGCACAACTACAAAACTTGGCATGAGAATAGAAGACATCCTTCTAAAAATACATCTCTGAAGGCTATTTTAAGTAAGTTCTCCAAGACTGTTTGTTGTCTGTGCTTGATCTCTCTTGTTCTATTTGTCTCTGTCTGTTCCTACAGTCAGAATTCTTTAAAAATAATAGGCTCTGCAATTAAAGGAGATTTGTTTCTTATAGATATTTTGGTCAGAGAGTGGCCCAAACCAGAACCCTGAGTCTGAGGCCCACCTGAACTTTGGAGAAGTTAAAATCTTTCTCTATTCCAACTTTAGGAATGAACAATTATATTTTCTAATCTTTCTGAATAGCAAAAGAAAAATAAATTAGAATATTCTAATAATTGTTCTGCCCATGTACCTCAATCAACCCGGAGGGGCCACCTCTTGGGGTGAGAGAGTAGTTCAGTCTCCATACCCATTCAGTCCTTGGCCCATTTGCTGAGACTCTCAATAAAGTTGCCAACAATAGGTTTTGTGATATTGAATTAGGAAATGGATTGAAACCATCAAAGCATTTCACATAGGTCAGTGTTCAGCCATAAAATGGTAATGGTTTTTGGTGATGCAATCTGGGCTGAATTTAAATTAGCTTGACAGGCGGTGTTTTCCATTACGTTTAATTCGCTAGTTAACCAGCTCTGAGAAGACAGTTTTTATGACCCCCTACACCTATTTACAACATCGGTCAATACCAACGTTTGAGAACTATATTTCTTGTAATTGCTTCCTATTTTCAATTTCCCCTTGTTTAATTATTTGCAGTGTGAAGCCTGTTTTTAACATAGATTGGAAAAAGATTAATACTTTTGAATGAATCTGTTCACAGTGTCTCAACCTTTTTAATCTGTTTCCAAACCAGTCTGGTCAGTTTTCTCCCACATCAGGAGTCATAATTAAGCCAAAGCCAAAAGAAATGCAAGTATAACACAGCTCAGGTTATGACATCCAATCCAATCATTAACATTTATTCTGGGTATACTCTTTAATGCACATATAACCCAAGACAGATGCATTTATGTATAGAGTCAGTTACTAGAATGACATGGTGGTTTATTAATGAAAGTAAATTTCAAACTAAGAGTTTTGGATTTGAAAATGATTTTCTGGCAAAGCCTGGGTTTGATCCATTTTTGGGGGGTGTGGCAGGGCAGGGGTAAAACTCCTTGAATGCCCTGCCAAAATGCTGGCTAAGTCCTGCTTTCTGGTAGGGAAGCCAGGTGTAGGGGCCCAGGCAGCCAGCAGAGAGCCCAGCTGCAGGACCTAACGAGGGTCGGCTCACGGCAATACTTCAGTTAAGTAACAGCAGTTGGGCTGAGAAGGGAAGGGCTATAAAAGCCCTGGAGAAAGCTCAGTCAGGAGGCTAGCCTGGGAGGGGGTAGGAGGCTTACAGCTCTGTCTCCTCACCAAAGGCAAGGAGCCTCACGGGCCAGGAGACCCTGGGAAGGGTCTGAATAGGGATAGCTGTTGGGGGAATAAAAGGGACTACACGGTGACAAACAAAGACACAAGGGTGAAGCACCAAAGAAGGCGTTGGGACTCTTTATTTGGCTGGACAACACAGGGCACAGGCACGAGGAGGTGGAAGCCTGTGCAGACCCTGTGATGGGGGTTATGAAGGAAGTACATGAATTTAAATTTATCTGTGGGTACTATGAACTTGGTAACAATAGCATCAACTTCACAAAGACTTAGATTTTAGTTTTGAACTCTTACACATAACTCTCATGTGTCATGCATTATAGATCAATGAACCTACTAATAATTATGACTATTTATGAAATTTTACAATTTTCTCCAGTCTTTGGAAAAGCTACATGCTCCTTTTGAGAGGCAATTAGAGCTGATCAATTGAGAGATATACCAGACCCGTTTGAAACTGGATCATGTCCTGAAGAAAATGTCAAAGATTAGAGCCTTTGTTTTAAATCTGAGATGTAGACAACATATGAAAATATCATGAGTTTATAAATCCTCTATTTCCACACTTCCTAAAAATGAATTCTAGTAGGCTGGTGAGATATGAGGTAGTGTTTGGCTAGGTGTTCTTCAAATTCTTTTTTGGCCTTCCTAATTATATTTTTACACTTCACTTGCCACACCTTACACTCCTTTCTATTTTCCTCACTAGAATTTAGCTTCCACATTTTAAAGGATGCCTTTTTGCCTCTCACTGCTTATTTTACTTCGTTGTTTAGCCATGGTGGCACTTTTTTGGTTCTCTATGTTTTTTAATTTGGGGTACACATTCAAGTTGAGCCTCTATTACATTATCTTTATGATGTCTTGCTGGAGCTTTGCTTTGTTAATACTGCATTTTTTTCTTTTCTTTTCCACTAATGGGACTAAGTTCACCTTTCTCCTAAATTCTTAAGGTTTTAGTCTCTTACCCAGTTCTGAATGGTTTAGTCCCTTGGATTTGTTGTAGAAGAGTCAACATGGTTTTTGTAAAGGGAAATCATTCCTCATCAATCTACTAGAATTCTTTGAGGGGGTCAACGAGCATGTGGACAAGGGGAATCCAGTGGACATAGTATACTTAGATTTTCAGAAAGCCTTTGACAAGATCCTTCACCAAAGGCTCTTAAACAAAGTAAGCTGTCATGGGATAAGAGGGAAGGTCCTCTCATGGATCGGTGACTGGTTAAAAGATAGGAAACAAAAGGTAGGAATAAATGGTCAGTTTTCAGAATGGAGAGAGGTAAATAGTGGTGTCCCACAGGGGTCTGTACTGGGTTCAGTCCTATTCAACATATTCAGAAATGATCTGGAAGAAGTGGTGTCAAGGTTCCTTCCCCACTCTGAACTCTAGGGTACAGATGTGAGGACCTGCATGAAAGATCCCCTAAGTTTATTCTTACCAGCTTAGGTTAAAAACTTCCCCAAGGTACAAACTTTGCCTTGTCCTTGAACAGTATGCTGCCACCACCAAGCGTTTCAAACAAAGAACAGGGAAAGAGCCCACTTGGAGACGTCTTCCCCCAAAATATCTCCCAAAGCCCTACACCCCCTTTCCTGGGGACAGCTTGATAAGAATCCTCACCAATTGTACAGGTGAACACAGACCCAAACCCTTGGATCTTAAGAACAATGAAAAATCAATCAGGTTCTTAAAAGAAGAATTTTAATTGAAGAAAAGGTAAAAGAATCACCTCTGTAAAATCAGGATGGTAAATACGTTACAGGTAATCAGATTCAAAACAGAGAATCCCTCGAGGCAAAACCTTAAGTTACACAAAGACACAAAAATAGGAATATATATTCCATCCAGCACAGCTTATTTTACCAGCCATTAAACAAAAGGAAATCTAACGCATTTCCAGCTAGATTACTTACGAACTTAAAAGGAGTTGGAAGGCTGCATTCCTGATCTGTTCCCAGCAAAAGCTGTTCCTTAAAAAAAAACCTGATCTGTTCCCAGCATCACACAGACAGACGAACCCTTTGTTCCCCACCCCTCTAGATTTGAAAGTATCTTGTCCCCTCATTGGTCATTTTGGGTCAGGTGCCAGCGAGGTTATCTTAGCTTCTTAACCCTTTACAGGTGAAAGGATTTTGCCTCTGGCCAGGTGGGATTTTATAGCACTGTATACAGAAAGGTGGTTACCCTTCCCTTTATTTTTATGACAAGGGGAAACAGTGAAGTGGCAAAATTTGCAGATGATACAAAACTACTCAAGATAGTTAAGTCCAAAGCAGGCTGTGAAGAGTCCTTCAATCTCTGGAATGATGATCTACAGTATCAAACAAGAGCTCTTATTCACAAGCTTCATCAAAAGCTAAAGCTTGTTTGTTTTTATGTCTCTAGAGACCCCTAATGTGACATCATATGGAATAAGGACCAACATCTAACACTCAATTCCACTGAATTATTTCCTAGTCAGTTATTTGATTGTGAATCAACCTGTCAGATCCTTTAGATCCATTTTGTTTCAATTATTACTTTGCGACTATTTTACCCTGAGGGCTCTAGATCCAGGATTCACTACTAAGTTTGAGGTGGTTATGTAAATAATGTTTTTCTGAAGGAGGAGGAGATTGGCCCAAAATCTTTAGTCAACATGGTGATTCTACACAAAATTGTTTAGTTTGATTTTCTTCATGTACAATAGTCTAATGGGAGAATTTGTCAGAAAATAATTATCTAGAGGCAAAATATAAATGGAGTTCTTGAGTCCACTAAAAATGAAGAGACTAAGTCTATAGGAATCAAGTTACTTGTAATTTGTGTTTTCTGAAGGTAGCTATCAGAACTGATATAGCCGCAGGCAGGAGTTATAAAAGACGACTAGCAAATTGGGGAACTCACAGTCTTGTGAATTAAAGGTGGGATGGAATGTTTCATAACACAAGAACTAGGGGTCACCAAATGCAATTACTAGGCAGCAGGCTTAAAACAAACAAAAGGAAGTATTTCTTCACACAGTGCACAGTCAACCTGTGGAACTCTTTGCCAGAGGATGTTGTGAAGGCCAAGAGTACAACAGGGTTAAAAAAAGAACTAGATAAATTCATGAAGGATAGGTCCATTAATGGCTATTAGCCAGGATGGGGAGGGATGGTGCTATTAGCCTCTGTTTGCCAGAAGCTGGGAATGGGCGACAAGGAATAGATCACTGGACGATTACCTGTTCTGGTCATTCCCTCTCAGGCACCTGGCATTGGCCACTGTCGGAAGACAGGATACTGGGTAGATGGACCTTTGGTCTGACCCAGTATAGCCATTCTTATGTTCTTTGCCAACCAGATCATGGCACTTCAAACAAACAACTTTTGATTAAAGTCTTATTTGTATTATTTAAGATTTCAGTTTAATGACCTTCCTATTTCTTATCCGTGAGACAGGAAGGGGAAAAAAGAGACATTAAAAAATTCAAGCAGCTTGAAGTTTCTCTTGCCTCCAACTCGCTGAGTGAAGACTAAGGAGTCCTTGTGGCACCTTAGAGACTAACAAATTTATTTGAGCATAAGCTTTCATGGGCTAAAACCCACTTCATCAGATGCATGGAGTGAAAAATACAGAAAGCAGGAGATATGAAAAGATGGGAGTTGCCTTAACAAGTGCTTAATTGAATTAGCCTCGTTAGCATGGACCCCACACTTGGTAAGGCGGGGTGGCCACCCTGAGCCTGACAAGGAGCCAGAATTTACCAATGTACATTGCCAAAGAGCCACAGTAATACATCAGCAGCCCCCCCAGGAGCTTCTGCTCCCAATGCCTCCCACCCACGGGCAGCCCCGCCAAACAGCGCCTCTCCCTCCCTCACCACACCTCCCGATCAGCTGTTTCGTGGCATGCAGGAACTCGGAGTGGGAGTGGGAGGAGCGAGGGCATAGCAGGTTCGGGGAGGGGGCAGGAAGAGGTGGAGTGGGGGGCAGGGCCTGTGGCAGAGCCAGGCATTGAGCAGTGAGCACCCTCCAGCACATTGGAAAGTTGGCACCTGTAGTTCCAGCCCCAGAGTCGGTGCCTATACAAGGAGCCGCATATTAACTTCTGAAGAGTGGCATGTGGCTCCAAAGCCAAAGGTTGGCCACCCCTGTGGTAAAGCAACTCCCATATTTTCATGTGCTGTATATATATATATACACTACTTACTGTATTTTTCACTCCATGCATCTGATGAAGTGGGTTTAGCCCATGAAAGCTTATGTCCAAATAAATTTGTTAGTCTCTAAGGTGCCACAAGGACTCCTCGTTGTTAATGCATCAATAGAATTACTTCCATATCCTTTAGTTTAGCAGTCTCTACCAACTAATGTCTAATGGAAATGCGTCTATAATCACTAAAACCTGTTACTTCATTTGGCAACATTGGCAATCTGCTGAATAACAAGAATATTTCTGGAAACCTGGATTCAAGTCACAAGTGAAAACGAGTCAGGCAATCTCATCCTAATCTCTATTTGTTTATTTCACAAAACCATCACGTTAAACAGGAGACTTGAAAATTAGGACTAAAGTACAGTGGCAAAACTACGTGGAAATATTTCCATAGCACTCAAACACATTATAGAATCATAGAATCATAGAATCATAGAATATAAGGGTTGGAAGGGACCCCAGAAGGTCATCTAGTCCAACCCCCTGCTCAAAGCAGGACCAATTCCCAGTTAAATCATCCCAGCCAGGGCTTTGTCAAGCCTGACCTTAAAAACCTCTAAGGAAGGAGATTCTACCACCTCCCTAGGTAACGCATTCCAGTGTTTCACCACCCTCATAGTGAAAAAGTTTTTCCTAATATCCAATCTAAACCTCCCCCACTGTAACTTGAGACCATTACTCCTCGTTCTGTCATCTGATACCATTGAGAACAGTCTAGAGCCATCCTCTTTGGAACCCCCTTTCAGGTAGTTGAAAACAGCTATCAAATCCCCCTCATTCTTCTCTTCTGCAGGCTAAACAATCCCAGCTCCCTCAGCCTCTCCTCATAACTCATATGTTCCAGACCCCTAATCATTTTTGTTGCCCTTCGCTGGACTCTCTCCAATTTATCCACATCCTTCTTGAAGTGTGGGGCCCAAAACTGGACACAGTACTCCAGATGAGGCCTCACCAATGTCGAATAGAGGGGAACGATCACGTCCCTCGATCTGCTCGCTATGCCCCTACTTATACATCCCAAAATGCCATTGGACTTCTTGGCAACAAGGGCACACTGCTGACTCATATCCAGCTTCTCGTCCACTGTCACCCCTAGGTCCTTTTCCGCAGAACTGCTGCCTAGCCATTCGGTCCCTAGTCTGTAGCTGTGCATTGGGTTCTTCCGTCCTAAGTGCAGGACCCTGAACTTATCCTTATTGAACCTCATCAGATTTCTTTTGGCCCAATCCTCCAATTTGTCTAGGTCCCTCTGTATCCTATCCCTCCCCTCCAGCGTATCTACCACTCCTCCCAGTTTAGTATCATCGCAAATTTGCTGAGAGTGCAATCCACATTATTTGCTGTGGATTTGTAGAGTGCAATCCACATTATTCCTGGCTCGAACCAGCCTCAATATTCCACTCTTAAATTCCTGTAAAATGTTTTCTAAAATACAAATAGGCCTAGACCAAAATCCCTAGAAACGAACACTTGTGAGCACTGGGGAAGTTCAGATAGGATAATCTTCTCTATAAAGGGCTAAACCCTGTATCTAATCACCTCCGAATCTGTACATGAACTTCAAGGCTAAGACCATAACCAATAAAAACAAACTGTACATTTATTTTTCTAAAATCCTTAATTAAATTAAATAAAATGCCAACTTATCAAATATAAATGATCATTCTAACTCAGACCCACTTTATAGTCCTTCAAAACAGAATTCAGCAAATGATTTTTAGCAAGTAAATTATGGAGATTGTGGCACCAGTTTTAGGGGTAAATTGTCATCTTGATGCATATGGTAGTTACTCAGGCATTGAGTTCCTCAGACACGCGATTCCTCTAGACATACAGAGGAAAAATTATGCCATAGTAATTAGACTGACTGTCTTCTTCAAAACATCTATGTAGGTTGCTAGGAGTGATTATAGTGGTGCTCCTGCAGGAGAAATCTACACACTGACAACTGATAAAGACATTTTGTCAGTGGAGTCAACTAAGCTGCCACTAAGCAAACATAAAAGTAATATAATCCTATGTAAAACTGAATTTTCCATAATCCATCCTTTGCTTTATTATAGAAGGGAAATATTTGTTTCTCCATAAACAGTTCCTTGATTGATTTAATGGTTTGTTTTTTCTGAGATTCCTTAAAAGATGTATTAGATTTTTCAAAACATCTCAGAGGAAGTTTAAAAAAATAAAAATAAAAACATTGCTGTTAATTATGTTTATTTATCAAATAATATATTATCGGAAGGCAGAAAAAGACAAACATCCATGTGAAGTGCAAAGGTATGAGCTAAATCAGCTGTGACTTTACAATTTAGTTTTTTTTTTTAAATGGCTATTTTATTTCTGATCTCTCAAATAGTACATAGTATAACAAGTTCAGTCAATGGCCATGATTATTAAACAATAATGGGGATCTGGATATAAGCAAATGTTAAAATGTTGCCTGCAGGGATAACTAAGTGCTCTGACATGCTATAATGATGTATTTTTATAGAGCTGAGGATTAAGGACCAATTCTTGCTCCCATTGAAGACAACGGGATTTGTTTTGCTTCTGAGTTTAATGGCAAATAGGAAAAGATCTGTAGTAATTCAATAAAAAACACAGACGGAGAAAAAAACAAATATTTCCCTTTATTTGTTTGTATCTGTTTTTCAGACATACTATTAACATTTACATGGACATTAAATAGAGATGAAATATTAGTAATTTATTACTACTAAATTTACTGTTAAAATATAATTGTCCATTATTTGCAGAAAACAAAACTTCAACCATAAGAGTATTTAGCTTCAAGTATCCCAGGTTGTTGTTAATCAATTAGCAGCAAAATAAAAGAAAGCGAAAAATGGCTGATAGAGACAAGTGTTAATATATATTAGGTTAGCCTTACTCCTTGGCCAGCTGTACACTGGTGGGTTTTGCTCCAATAGGTATCCCATGTTTGTGCAAAGTGCTGATTAAAGTATCACGCATTTCATTGTTGTAGGAGTCAAAGTCAAACACATTTCGAACCACATTTGCAAGTCCTTCCGTTGGAAATTTCTGCACAGAAACAAAACCCCAACATTCATCTTATTACACATATCTATTAAGTTATTGCACATACTAAAATATTTTATATTGTAGTTAGTCTGTATAGTTAAACTGCTAAAGTCAGTTGAGAGAGAAATGCTATGTTTATTTGTCATGAAGCAATAAAACAAATGGTATATTTATTTCCTGGAAAGACAACTTCTGTTTAAATTAAACAAAACAAAACATTAGATTCATACATCTAAATAATGAGCTCTAGTAGTCATGTTCTTAGTGTTGCTAGATAGAATACAATAGAAACAACTAACACAAAAATTGCAGAACTAACAACATGCATGCTAAACTTCACTGCCCTATTGCTTTGCTTTTTGTTGCATCTCTCATGCTTTCTTGATATGTTATCTATTTAGATTGCATGATCTTTGAGGCAGGGACCTTATCTTCTTACAAGTAAGAATGCTTAGCAAACTATTAGCAATTTAGAAAGTACATACTTCTAAAAATAAAGAATGAATAATGAAGTTAATTTAGGGTGGGAGTTGCAAAGGTTCTCAGTGCTGGCCTACCACAGCTCCCATTGAAGTTAATGGGAGCTGAGGCAGGCCAGCACTGAACACTTTTTGAAAATCCCATTGTTGGCTGCTTTGGGTGCTGTCTCTCCAGGGGTCCCAGCTTTCTCCTAATTGGGCCCTTTCAGTCCTATCAGTCCATGAATTCTTAACTTAAACTGAGTCTATCAGCCCTTAAACACCAGGGCTTGCAGTTTTCTTTTCTCTTCTTATCAGTTCCTGAGAAGCAGCCTGGCATAGGGCTGTTGTCCCCTCTGCTATCCCAGGCCTTTCTGCTTCCCTTTTCCCTCTCTTGCATAATGACAGGTTTCAGAGTAACAGCCATGTTAGTCTGTATTCGCAAAAAGAAAAGAAGTACTTGTGGCACCTTGGAGACTAACCAATTTATTTGAGCATAAGCTTTCGTGAGCTACAGCTCACTACACTGGATGCATCCGATGAAGTGAGCTGTAGCTCACGAAAGCTTATGCTCAAATAAATTGGTTAGTCTCTAAGGTGCCACAAGTACTCCTTTTCTTTTTCCCTCTCTGTTCTCCCTCCTTTATAGCTGGGCTTGTTTCTGTATCAGTCACAGAGACAGGTCCATACCTTCACAACTGGTAATGCTGGCAGCTGGGAAGGGGTGCAAGCAGCCTGATAGTCTGTCAGCAGGGAAGACTCTCCTCTCCCTTTTGCCTATGCTCAGTATGGGGTTTGTAAACCCCATTACACCCCTCCTTAAGTGACCATTGCCCCATTCCTACAAACACATATGCACATGCTTAACTTTTCTACCATTGTGAGACTACTCATAATTAAGCATATGCGTAAGTGTTTTCAGGGACAAAAAATTCCCAAGGGGCATATTGTGAACCCATCACTCTTATTTGGTAGCAATTACTCACATAAGAGTCCCAACTGTGTAAGTAACTACACACCAGTGGAATAAGGGGTTCACAGCCTAAAAGTTCCATTGCGCACTTTGACATACTCCTGTCTGAAATAGTGGTACATCAAAGCATACTATGGAATTATTACTGCATGGTAGCAGGGTCCACACGATTAGTTAGTGCATGAAAAGCTGATGCACTCTACATTCACGCCCTGGCTTGCTTGCTGCACACTAAATCACCGTATAGACAAGCCCTTTTAATGTGTGTATCACAAAATACTACAGCACTCATACACAAGAACAATACATACACAAGAATATGCCCTAGAAATTATGCATATCTGGAGTATACAGAAAAGGCTGCATTATTACTTAGCTAATTATTTGCTTTGCAAAATATGTAATTGTGGGATTCTACAAGTCATTCTCTAGCTGCCCCCAACACATTTAATGTGGCTATTCCTTACTGAATAAAATATAAAAAAGTCCTGTGATAAATGTTCTAAGTTAAGTTGGTTGAAACATTTTAGATAGAATCCCGGTGGAAAAAGTTAATTGATATTTCTGAACTACTAAACTCCTTTCTACTAATAAGACTTACAGCACTGAATAATTTCACTATCCTGCAATCAAAATTAATATATTGCACAGAAAATAATCTACGCATTTATCATGATGTATATCAGACAGATCCATTGCATACACTATCCAAAATTAAAAGCACAAATATCTACTTATATTGTTACTGCTTAGCACATAAAACCATCCTGCCTGAAACAAAATTATACTTGGACAACTTCTATATTCTGCAAAATATATTTAATAGACATTGTAGGAAACAGAACTTATCAGGACTTGTATATACTGTAAATGTAACTGAAAAACATGGTGTGATATATCTTGAATTTTAGAATTTCTGCAAAAGTAAAGCAAATGATCATGTAATTAACAGTACACAGTATATTTTGAATAATAAAACAGTAATAATGATGAATAGTTATGGTTAGGTAGCATTTCTTAGTAATAACTCACATTCTTCCTCTCATTACAAAGTGTAACGAACAAGCTTGCACCGATTTAATTAGTAACTTTCAGTACAGTATCTGAATACGCTAGAGGATAATGACAGGTTTCAGAGTAGCAGCCGTGTTAGTCTATCTATTGATACTGAGCTATTATCAGCAAATTGAATCTATTTCCCCATGTTAATTATCCTCACACCTTCTTGTCAATTGTCTGAATTGGGCCATCTTGATTATCACTACAAAAGTTTTTTTCTCCTGATGATAATAGCTCATCTTAATTAATTAGCCTCTTGGATTGGTATGGCAACTTCCACCTTTTCACGTTCTCTGTATGTATATACATCTTCTTCCTATATGTTCCATTCTGTGCATCTGATGACGTGAGCTGTAGCCTACGAAATCTTGTGCTCCAATAAATTTGTTAATCTCTAAGGTGCTACAAGTACTCCTGGTTTTTTTTTAAGAGGATAATGATTAGCCTCGTTTGCTCTACATTTATTGTTTCATGTAGCTTACAGAGGAAACGGCAAAAGCTTTAATAAATTGACTCAAATGTTATCCAGCCCACCCAATAGTCTCTTTATCCTCTTTTGAACTATTTTGTTTCTTCTGACATACATCCCTCACATCACTGAAACTGATATCTCCATGCTTCCTGTACCAATATTATATGATATGAACTCTATTTCTTTAGAGGCAAATCATCACTTTCACAAAAATTATTCTGAACTAGAGAACCTGTCAATAGGTTCTTCACTTAACTCCATTTTTAAAAATGAGCTCTACTGCTTCAAATGGTACAAATTCAGCAAATTTTTAATATCTGGCTGGAAAACTGTTTACCAAAAAATGTCACTGACCGTTTACTTGAAGCACAAAATTTGTCTGTCTTTACAAATCATTTACTTGATATTGATTTTTAAAACCAGATTAGCAGACAAAATATTGATTCCCCATCAGTACATCCAGTTCTCATTCAATGAGTCTTTCCATTACAAGTAACACTTCTATGAGTGTCTTGGAGTACTTTAATATTTTACTCCTAGATTTCTGGTTATTTTTGAAAACAAAAACAGTTTTTGCTTTTAGCAGCTTCATACTGGATATATTTTATGCTTAAAGTCATTACATAGTATGGCTTGAAAAAAAAAAGTACTTTACATGAATCTAAGCTTACGTGAATTGCGAATACGGGTACTATTGTAATCTACTTTAAACTACCGGTACTCCCACGGTCATTCTGTTACGTCAGCATTTACATTCTATGTAGCTCGACATCTTACCAAATACTTTGCTAAAACTACTTTTTTGAAGAAATAGCAAGCACAGTAGCAAGCTATTAACACTGTATTCTATTATTCAATCTAAAACATTTTACTGACATAGTTTTCTCAGCATGAGCACAGAGATGCTGAACTGTTATTGGAACACAGCTTAACAGTTGTCCTCAGTTCTGCAATCCCTGCATTATGACTGGTTGTGAGTGATTTATCTTCATAATCTCCATAAGGTTATGTCTCCGTATCATAGAGTATGCATATCACTGTACTTTGATTGGCTGACAGTCAGAATGCAGAGATTTACATAATCACTGTACTATTACTTCTGATTCATACACTTAAAATTTTCAGGTTTTCTGCCAAAAACAAAGATATTGCCTTAGTTTCTAACCCCTTTCTGTAGAAGCAGAAAAGTTCCAAAATTACATGAAAGAAAACAACCACATGAGTACAAAGAAAGTGAGGCTGTGGAACTGCTGTAAAGGAAATTGTTTAACCATATGACTAAATTACCTCTTTCCTTCCTACAGGCCAGCACTGTTCATTGACTCATTTCCCTCCTTCCTTTCCTCCTCTCCCTTCCCTCCCTGAAGTCTGGCAAGGTCCTTACTCCAGAATAACTATTATATTTTTAGTTACACTAATTGTTTACATTAGGTCAATCCCACCTCCTTTACTTGCCAGTTTTGAAATACAATTTACTGTAAACTGTCGCCCCTCTGCTAAGCAGTAGCCGATGTCAGGGCCTTGGAGATAGGTTTTGCATTGAAGGAGAACTCAGTGATGCAATCTGCATATTTACTTAGTGCAACTTGTTTATTTACACTACATACATTAGTTATTCAACAGAAGTGGGCACAAAAGGCACACAGGGAAACCCCTCTTTCGGAAATCTCAGCACCACACACCAATACTCTGTTCCCAGAAAGTAACTCTGCACTAATAATTGACTCCAGTGAGGGAAATTGAGGAAGAGAACCAACCAACTGTTTGCCACAGCTTTCCCCAAACAATCTGCATCAGGAAAACTAACAAAGCCATGTTTCTTCAAATATTGTACACTTCTTGCGCACTATGAAAAATAACTCATAAAGCAGTGTAACGCTGTCATTTGGTGAGGCTTGCCATTAAAACATATATTCTAATTACAGATTATTTGGGGGTGTGGCATTAAGACGGAAGAACCAAAAGGGTTGTTTTTCTTCGAAACAAATCTGCCTTTCAGCAGTTTGGCAGCCCATTTTTTCTCTTTCATTTAAAATTTGATTATTTGTTTTAATATATTAATATTACTAATAACACATGATACTTGTTTCTATTAATCTGATAAATCACTATGACCTGGTCAATAACACCTCAGCTTTCAGACCTGTAGCTCATTCAGCCCAGGATAGGTATTACTTCATAAACATTCAAATTATCAGTGTTGTTATGCTGTATTTATATTATGGTAGCACCCAAAGGCCTCATCAGCATTCAAGAAATATTGTCTAAAGAACAACTAAAACTGCAGAATGACAAAGTCCCTGCTCCAGAAATCTAGAATTACTAGGTATAAGTATCATTGTAAAAAAAACTATACTATTTCTGAGTCATAATATCTTAGTGTCACACACACAAATTTGACACCCTCCCCCCCTCACCATGCAGCCCCATTGTTCTGTATGAACATACAGGTAGAAATGGTACTTTTGCCAAAGAACTTATAATAAGAGACATTATATTAAAATAATTATTACAACAATATTTCTAGGAAATATAAATTTAACACAGTAAGATCTTAAATCTAAGAAACAGCACTATAATAATTAAAATACCTACATCACGGATTATAAATAGTAGAAAATACAAACATTCCATATTCAAATAAGCAGCAAATACGTTTCAAGTTATATAGCTATTCTTCTATTAGCAGAACCTAACTTAAACCTTTTAACTTTATTATTGAATCAGAATTCAGGATATTGCATTTTGACTGTGTGAGGCAATCAAGGTACATGAGCAACTGTTTGCCAAGTCCATATGCATGTACAATTTTGACAACATAATATGATTTTTGATCTATTCTTCTTAAGCAACAGTGTCCAATTTCCCATAAAGGCAATGTAAATCAAAAATGAAACAGCAGGCAAAAGTGTAAATTATTAAGTTATGTTATTCTTATAAAAGCTCAGGGAATTCTATCAGAAAAACCAATATGAACAATGCATAACAGGTTCACTTTCTCTCACACACACAAAGAACATAATGAAAGATAAAAATGTATTGTATGCATTGTACACACTTACAAATAAATGTTCACAAAGATCTAACTACCAACATACATATAGAACCCTATCATTGTGCTAAATGAGCATCTAGATATTGTTACCCTTTCTAAATGCAGTTGTTGGACAAATCCTTCCATCCACAAATTTGATTTATTACTTATTTAAAAAAAAATCTTTATCTACAATACTTGAAGGTTTTTCAAAGAGTATATTGCATTACTGTTCATTTAATTTATTGCATTCTTTTGAATTCAAGATAATGCATATTGTACCTGTAAATGTTTTACTATATTTACAACTTCTCTGGTTGAATAAGGATAGTTAATAATTCCTTGGTCAGCCAAGCTCCTCAGTTCTCCAAAAGCAGCCACCAGTTTCTGAAGGATTGACTCAGGAACATCCGGTCCATACTGTCTAAGCATAGCCAGTTCCGACTGTGGTTTGGGATTATCAACTGCATGGCAGCTAAAAATATCCCCTAAAATAAAAAATATATATAGGGTTCATTTAAGCTTTAATACAAAGGGAGTGTAATAATAATAGATAATATCCACCTTGTATAGTTGAAAAACCCTGAAAGCCTTCAGAAAGTACTGAGCACCCACCCACTGAAAAATCAGGCCACCTGAAGTCCTCCCATGCTGGTCACACAAAAACGAGGCATCCAAAAATCACTAGTTACCTTTGAAAATACAAAATTCTTAACTCACTCTTCCTGAATAAAGAAACTGAAAGCTGAATTAGAAATGCCTGAAGGCAAAGTTGGCAAAAAAAAAAAAAAAAAAAGAGATGCAACAGGAACCTCTGAACTGTCACTATAATTCCCCGGAAATGAGAACTTCTTCATGAAGTCCTGCTTTAAGCACTCTGCAGATAAGTGCTCTCTCCACAAATGCCTGTTTAGACCACAGGAGGTTGCTTTTCAAAATTTGTCCACTACCACTTCTCCTCAGTCAAGGAGGTGGAACGGACAGTAAATTTCAGTACACAGATAATTTCTGAAGGCCTATGGAAAACAAACCCGGTCCATTTGGCCATTGCATAACAGGACATCTGGAAGCCTTTCCTTCAACTCTTGAAGAGAACAAAGAAAAAGCGATTTATTTTCCTGCTTCTAATCATTCTAACTTCACTTTGAATGTGCTTCTGAAGTCAAAGAGACAAGGTGTTTTCCATTCCTGGTTCAGAATTAGGAAAATCAGAAGGGAAGTGTAACTTGCCTAGGTGAAAAGGGCGCAAAATGTTTGGCAAAAACTAGGACACGTGTAAAGGACCAACTTGTTACTATGAAGAACCAATATGGACAGTTGTGGGAAAGTATGGAGAGCTTTACCCCTATCCTGGCTAAGGAGATCAACAGCCAGAAACCAACTTCAAAAAGAAGCAGAAGAAATTGACTGAATGAAGAAGTGCCACAGGGTGGCTGGCCCCTGGAAATGAAGGAAGCTCAGCTCCCTTGTGCTAGAACAGATGTGCCCAGTTGGACCAATGATGAGAGTGGGGCACCCCAGGGCTATAATGAGCCAGGCTCTCAGTATGGAAGGGGGATTGCTCATGGAGCAGGAGCAGGCACAGGCAGTGGGAACCTACTGGAGGGAAAAAGAGCCTCCAAGAAAGTAGCTTTGGAAGGTGCTCTGTTAAAGGAGTACAGGAGAATCCTGCCATAGGCCTTCAAGCAGGAGAGACTGAAAGACAAAGGGGAATGTCCCCAGGAAGTTGTAGCCCATGGTGTGCTCAGGAATTGTTTTGTTCTTTTTGCTTATATTTGGAAAATAAAACTGTCGATCCTTCATGGGCTGGGGAAAGGATACAGTCTTCCAGGATGCTTGAACAGAAGTTCACAAAAGCTGAGGAGGATCACTTTTATAACACACTCAAGGCATCACGGAGCTAAATGAATAGTGGAGAAAGATCAGCTCTTTCAGGAGTACTCTGACGCAAAACTAAAGCTTAGGGTATAGGGATGTAGGGTCACTACTGGGCCCTGCTGAAGATGATCTTGACATGAAAGCAGAGGGGTTTCGAACCCTGGAAATAGCATCAAAAGGTAGAACTAAGCCCGGGACAATTATGACTAAAAGCAGTTTTCTTTAGGAGTTTCCGTGTGAGCAGAAGAGGAGGACATATTTAACCATGGGAAAGTTCTATGGAATAGTAAAGACATCCTGGTCCAGTGTTGCTGGGTAAATTTCACTGGGAACAGGTCTACAACACGGACACAGGGCTGTAAAACATTTGCTCTTGAGTACCGCTTTCCTGGAAGGGTCTTGGATTGCCCTTGCCCACAGGAAAATATGTGGAACTAACTTTCTTGCTGAACAGATGTACATCCCAAACAGGGTCATGTCTAAGGCAATGAGTGTCCTGCCTTGGACCCGGAAGTAATAGATTTAGGGGTCCTCTCCCCTCCCCACCCCAACCACCCCACTCTTCCTTTCACCATGAGATCAAGTAAAAGAAAGAAAGCTAATGTTCTCCCACACCCAAGACCATTAAATATACCTGATTTACAGTGCTCCCATTTAATACAAATCGCTTACCTAGTGTGCCAAAAAAATCATTACCCAAAAAAGGAAATCCGGGTCTATTTGCTAGAACTACCATTCTAAAATCAGGATGAATTACTATTACATTTTCTCTCCCATCTACATTAGCAGGATCTGGAAAACAGATTGTTAAAAATGTTTTAGTTTTGCCATTTATGAAACAAACAATAGAAATCTGTACATCTTCCAAAAAACCCAAAGGCTTTATTAGCATGTTGCTCCACTATGAGAGTTCTAGGCACTTGCTATAATTATTTTGTTTCATAAACCTAGAGGAATAATTTGTTCCAAGCTCAGTGATGCATTGAATATCTCAGGACCAGAACAACTTGTGCCTTCAGTAAAACTTGTGGGAGAAGGCTGGTACCATGAGATATATCCATGAGAATCCCCTTGTGGAGATTTCTACATATTGCCCTGTGTGAGGCAGGGAGAAGAGATCTGGGGCTTGCCCTCCTACAGAAAACCCTGTGCACAAACTTGAAGACCCCCGGGAAGCTGTGAGAAGCCAGAGCCACGTGTGCAGAGAACGTGCAAACTGGCTCAGGCTAGGCTTCTCCACCTGCTCCCTGCAAGCATATCTTCATTGGTACCACAGGGAATCCTCTCACAATTACACAACCAGGATATTAATTTAAACAACCAGAACTATTTCTTTTAAATGACACCCTAGAGATTTGTGGTCACCCAGTATAATTCTAGTATTGTATCACATGAATACTGAATAATTACTTCATTCACACTTAAATACGTGCTCCTAATCTGTTTAAAAGAAAAACACCACCTCTATTTTCATCACACATATAGCATTGTTTCAGAGTAACAGCCGTGTTAGTCTGTATTCGCAAAAAGAAAAGGAGGACTTGTGACACGTTAGAGACTAACCAATTTATCTGAGCATAAGCTTTCGTGAGCTACAGCTCACTTCATCGGATGCATACTGTGGAAACTGCAGAAGACATTATATACACAGAGACCATGAAACAATACCTCCTCCCACCCCACTCTCCTGCTGGTAATAGCTTATCTAAAGTGACCACTGTCCCTACAATGTGCATGATAATCAAGGTGGGCCATTTCCAGCACAAATCCAGGTTTTCTCACCCCCCCGCCCCTTCCAAAAACCACACATACAAACTCACTCTCCTGCTGGCAATCACCTTGATTGTCATGCACATTGTAGGGAGAGTGGTCACTTTGGATGAGCTATTACCAGCAGGAGAGTGAGTTTGTGTGTGTGGTTTTTGGAAGGGGCGGGGGGGTGAGAAAACCTGGATTTGTGCTGGAAATGGCCCACCTTGATTATCATGCACATTGTAGGGACAGTGGTCACTTTGGATAAGCTATTACCAGCAGGAGAGTGAGTTTGTGTGTGTGTGTGTTTTTGGGGGGGGTGGGGGTGTGAGAAAACCTGGATTTGTGCTGGAAATGGCCCACCTTGATTTTCATACACATTGTAAGGAGAGTGATCACTTTGGATAAGCTATTACCAGCAGGAGAGTGGGGTGGGAGGAGGTATTGTTTCATGGTCTCTGTGTATATAATGTCTTCTGCAGTTTCCACAGTATGCATCCGATGAAGTGAGCCGTAGCTCACGAAAGCTTACGCTCTAATAAATTGGTTAGTCTCTAAGGTGCCACAAGTACTCCTTTTCATATAGCATTGTATTGACAAACAGTGAAGATGCACTTCAAATACAGCTCTACTCTGAAAAGTAACTGTAAAAATTCCAGTGTGTTTCAGTTTTTTCCCCCAATGATTTCCACTTGATGAAATTCTAATGATGAAATTTTCTCATCGTACAAGTAAAACAGCAACAAAAAAAACACACAAAGATTTTTGCTAACTGCCAGCCCTGAAAAAATTCAACCTGGGACCCAAAACCTAAGATATGGATTTGGCAGACCAGAATATGTTCTGAGCAATAAGACTGCATAGATGTAACCAAGAGCACAATTTGGTCAAATGCATCCTTATTACTGGAAGTGATGAAGACAGAGCTCAACTTGATTTTTGAATCCGCACCCGAGAGGGTTGCCAATTCGGAAAACTTTTCCATGACAATAACTACTGAAACACTAACATGGTGTCTCACGGGCATGTTTACGGAGTCTCTCTACAAAGAAGTTCCACACTTAAAACTCTAATTGCTAACATTTGCACAGCAAACATTTTTTCGACCACTCGACTCTTTTGTAGCTATGGCTTAATAAATGCAATTGCTGTAATATGGCAACATACTATGTTTTACCGTAGATTATAAAAGCAACTTACTGGCAACAAGGCGCCTTCCATCCGACAGAACCATTTCTCCACTTTCCACAAGAGTTTTTAAAATACAGGTAACATTTGTAGGTGCTTTGTCTGCCTCATCGATAACCAGAATATGCCCCAACTTGACTGATTTCACCTAGAAGACAGAAGAAATGAACTGTCATATATATATATATATATACACACACACACACAAATATTGCAATATTGATTTCTCAGTTTCTTGTAGTAACATTTTGTATTTTCCCTCTATAAGTTAATATAGAAAAACAAAGAGACAGTAAGTGATTACTAATATAACGTTAAAGCATTAATAAATTGTTGCTTGAAAAACTGATGAAAGAAATGGGTCCTGTTAATACCAAAAATGTGTGTTTTCCGTAGGGCAGTTAATTAATCCCAGTTAACTCATGCGATTAATTCAAAAAAATTAATCACTATTAAAAAAAATTAACCATGATTAATTGCAGTTTTAATCGCACTGTTAAACAATAATAGAATACCAATTGAAATGTATTATAAATATTTGTGGATGTTTTTCTACATTTTCAAATATATTGATTTCAGTTACAACACAAAATACAAAGTGTACAGTGCTCACTTCATAGTATTATTTTTATTACAAACATTTGCACTGTAAAAAAGGTAAATAAAAGAAACAGTATTTTTCAATTCACCTCATACAAGTACAGTAGTACAATCTCTTTATCATGAAAGTGCAACTTACAAATGTAGATTTTTTTTGCTACATAACTGCATTCAAAACAAAACAATGTAAAACTTTAGAGCCTATAAGTCTATTCAGTCCTACTTCTTGTTCAGCCAATCACTCAGAGAAACAAGTTTGTTTACATTTACAGGTGATAATGCTGCCCACTTTCTTATTTACAGTGTCACCTGAAAGTGAGAACAGGCATTTGCATGGTACTTTTGTAGCCAGCACTGCAGGATATTTACATGCCAGATATGCTAAACATTCGTATGCCCCTTCATGCTTTGGCCACTATTCCAGAGGACATGTTTCCATGCTGATGACGCGCGTTAAAAAAATAATACATTAATTAAATTTGTGACTAAACTCTTTGGGGGAGAACTGTATGTCTCCTGCTGTTTTACCCACATTCTGCCATATATTTTGCGTTACGGCAGTCTCAGATGACGACCCAGCATATGTTGTTCGATTTAAGAACACTTTTGCTACAGATTTGACAAAACACAAAGAAGGTACCAATGTGAGATTTCTAAGGATAGATACAGCATTCAACCCAAGGTTTAAGAACCTGAAGTGCCATCCAAAATCTGAGAGGGATGAGATGTGGAACATGCTGACAGAAGTCTTAAAAGAGCAACACGGCGATGCAGAAACTACAGACCCTGAACCACCAAAAAAGAAACTGAGCCTTCTGTTGGTGGCATCTGACTCAGATGATGAAAATGAATGTGCATCAGTCTGCACTACTTTAGATCATTATCGAGCCGAACCAGTCATCAGCATGGAAGCAAACCTCTGAGAAAAGTATTACAATACTCCTTTAATAAGCCCCAATCCTGTATAGTTTACAGAGAATTGATAATAGCAGATTTACTTCTGTTTAAATATGCATAAGCAATCATGCATATCAGAGGGGTAGCTTTGTTAGCCCAGACCTGTGAAAGCGGCAAAGAGTCCTGTGGCACCTTATAGACTAACAGACGTACTGGAGCATAAGCTTTTCTGTGTGAATACCCACTTCTTCAGATGCATGTAGTGGAAATTTCCAGAGGCAGGTATAAATATGGAAGCAAGAATCAGGCTAGTGATAACGAGGTTAGCTCAATCAGGTAGGGTGAGACCCTCTTCTAGCAGTTGAGGTGTGAACACCAAGGGAGGAGCTCACATCTCAATTGCTAGAGGAGGGCCTCACCCTAGCTGATTGAACTAACCTCGTTATTCCTAGCCTGATTCTTGCTAACCTCGTTATTCCTAGCCTGATTCTTGCTTGCATATTTATACCTGCCTCTGGAAATTTCCACTACATGAATCTGAAGAAGTGGGTATTCACCCATGAAAGCTTATGGTCCAGTACGTCTGTTAGTCTATAAGGTACCACAGGACTCTCTGCCGCAATCACACATATGTAGCTATATATATATATATGTATACACAAACACAATGAATTGAAATAAAACACATTTTAATGTATGAACCCTAGCTCTGTTTTCCTTTGTATTTCTAATTGAAAACAGGTAAATTATATATTATAGCTAAGGCTGAAAATCTGTAATGGAGGTCACGGCAGTGACTTTCTGGAACCTCCGTGACTTCTGCAGTGGCCAGTGCGGCTAGCCCAGGGGCCGCCTGAGCAGCTTGGGCAACTCCTAGGGAAGCCGCATTGGCCACTGCTGGGACAGTCTCGGGCCACCGCAACTCCCCCACCCCCCAGCAGCAGAAGTTTGGGTGTGGGACGGGGCTCAGGACTGGGGCAGGGGGCTGGAGCATGGGAGGGGGGTCGGGGTGCAGACTCCGGGCGGCACTTACCTCATGGACCTCCCTGGAAGCATCAACATGTCCCTCCCGTGACTCTTAGGCAGGGGCATGGCCAGGCAGCTCCGCGCGCTGTCTCCACCCATAAGCACCACCCCCGCAGCTCCCATTGACCACAATTCCTAGCCAATGGTGGCTGCAGAGCCCATGCTTGAGGCAGTGTGCAGAGCCCCCCTGGCCACGCCTCTGCCTAGGAGCCAAGAGACATGTCACTGCTTCTGGGGAGCTGTGCGGAGCCAGGTAGAGAGCCTGCCAGCACTGCCACCCCCCAGCACCAGTGGGGGTCCTGGGCCACCCCCTCTCCCCAAGCACCCGTAGCGCCCCAGGGCTGCCCCCTGCCCCAGAGCACCTGATTTAGTCAGGGGTATATAGTGCAAGTCGTGGACAGGTCACGGGCTGTGAATTTTTGTTTACTGCCCGTGACCTGTGCAAGACTTTTACTAAAAATACCTTGACTAAAACATAGCCTTAATTACAGCCAAGATTTTAAAAATTGGATGCCTAAAGGTAGACTCCTAAATCCATGTTCAGGCACCTAAATCAGTGGCATGATTTTCAAGAGCTGAACTCTCAGCAACTCTCACTAACTCCCAGTGTTCTTCCAACAGAAAGTCAATGGAAACTGTTCAGCGTTCAGCATTTTGAAAAATCAAACTACTGATCTTGGTGTCTGAATATGGATTTGGAAGTCTAACTACAGGCTCCCATGTAAAAAAAAAATCTTAACATATGTAGTATTGAAGACTACCTCTGGATTCTGTCTAGCTAATGGAGTGGATGCATCGGCAAATGCTGCTGGGAGAGAAGGCCTCATCTATCATAGCAGAACCTGAACTCCGTGAATGGCATGACATGCAGAAACAGATTCTCTTGCATACGTGCACGAATGGTGATTGCCTGTGCACACATGGAAAAGGCCTTGCCAACATGCAGCGTATTGGTGTGTATGGAGGAAGGGCAGCAGGTGATACTGAAATGAGGAGGGAATGCTAGAAGAGGATGAAGAGATGCCACTGATCTGGGGTGAGAATGAGGTGAAGCTGACGTGACAAACAAGAGTGGTTCTGTTAAAGCAGAACCAGGCGGAACGGGGTGCTGCAGCTGGGAGGGAGAGGAGGAGGTTGGTCAGGAATAGATTCTGCTGATTGGAGTCTGGGTCCTGATTGTGTGGGAGGATGGAGCAGAAGGCAGTAAAGAGTTTAGGGAGTGGGGCACCGGTGTCAAGAGGTTGAGTCACTGGGTATGTAGGCTGTGTGTTTAGAAGCTGGAAGGGAGACATGGGAAAATTTCAGTGCATCAGCATTTGAGGGGCATCAAGTAATTCCAAAGTGAAATAAATAATATGCTCCTTTTGCATGTCAGATACACCAAGACCCCAGAATACTACACTGATTAGCTTGTGGCACAGAAAATGTATGTGAAATGAACAATAATTGTCCTATACTGCCAATAATGTCTTGCCATATTTGATTCTGTTGCTGAATTATAATATTCTCATTAAAGTTACAGTACCCAGACCACAGGGATAAGAATTTTATAACTTAGCCCAGAATTCCTTGGTCTTTGTGGAGCTTCCAATATATTTTTTAGCATTGTTTTATAAATGAAAATAGATTTTCAAATCTACAAATATAATTTAAGTACTGACCAGTGGTGAGTCTTCATATGTAATATGGCCATCTGTAACGGAAGGCTGCAGAGTAAGGCTCTGTACAGTGGTATCCCTGAGATTGAAAAAAAAAATGTAATTGGAAACAAAATAAAACTGATTTTTAGTCAAACTAAAAGGAAAAAAAAATATTAAAAGCCCTATTTGGAAGCAATACTGCGGAATTTTCTCTCCTGTAACAGGGAAAGCAAATATTAATAAAAAGCCCACAAACCATTACGCACCAGAGTGCAGAAACTCATGGAACCAATGTACAGGGTTGAGTAAGATAGTGATGTCATGTACGAAGTGTAATTTTATTTTTTTTAACTTTATGAGGTACCAAAGTGATAGGTGCCTGGGCGCCCAGAGAGCCTGACTTTTCCACTCCACTTTCTAAGACCCATAAGAAGAAGTGGACTGAGAATGATTAGAGAGCCCATCACCATGATCCCTAATTTGTCAGAGAACTTACTGTTCAGCAATTTCTCTTCCTCACTCAAGGTTTTCATAGCAATTCCTTGCCCCTTTTGAACCTGGGAAGTGAGAAATCTAAACACTGAACCCCACCTCTCCCATATGGAAGTGCAACATGCTACCACTAGTTCTGGGTAAAGCGTGCGTGCTTTAAACTATACTTTTCATGAAAAACATTTCCAAATGTCAAAGAAATCCCCTCAGATAAAGCAAACTGCTTAGCAGTGTCAAAGTGAAGTCCAGTTAATATTTTAATTGCCCTGCTCCATACTACTATCTCCAAGAGAAAGTGAGATTAGAAAAAAATAGTTCTGACCAGAAAATAGTTCATTTTAAAATTTTTACTACCTGAACTGCACCAGATGGAATAACTATTTACTAGGACTTGATACATCATTGTATCATAAAGTGCTAAAGTTAGTTGTTGTTTTTTGGTTTTTAATGGCATGGTGTTCCTTTCTTTCCAAAATAACATACATTTAGGGAGGTTTTTTTTAAAAACAGTCTGATGAAAATGTGGGGGAGAGTATACCCTTAATTTCAGTTAGTACAATCGACTTCAATGAAAACTAAGAGTGCAGCAAATGAAGAACAGGTTGCAGTTCAGAAAGGTCAAACAATATCTCTTTATCTGTTTAAACCACAAACCTTATTATGAGATCTGATTTAACAAAAATCACACTCACCTTCATAGCCATCTACTGAACCAGAATTGTTTGCTTAACCTAAGGTTATTGATCACTCAAAATTTCGACCTTAGATATATCTTCAGATTTTGTAACACATTTGTAAAAACCAGCAAGAACTCAGATAGGCTTCACAGACACAGGAAATCAAATATAGCATTGTTTGTAGTAAACTGTAAAATGGAAAGAATCCAATTTTAGCTGAAAACTGGAAGTAGTTAACATCGAAATCTCCTTTATTTGCTGTCAGTAGCATTTCTATCCCCAACAACTACTGCCTTGTTTAACAAAGGTCATGATTGATCTGCCCTAAGGTCTCTGCTAATAACAAAACAAACAAAAAACCCCAAGCAAGATCATAATAAAAACACAAACTCCTAATTAAATCTTTGCAGCGGGATATTTTTTACAGACAAACGTAACATGAAACACCACTTTCCTACTACCTTAACCCATTTCTGTCTTGCACAGAGAAATCAATACTAGATGCAGCAACAACTTCAATCAAGGAAATGTTATGGAAACCTTTTATTCTTTGATCACCGATTACTTATGATATAGGCCAAATTCTCAGATGCTGTATTTTGGCATAAATCCATTGAAGTTATAATCTTTAGTCCAAACCCAGAGAGCTTTAAGGGTACAAGAATTTTATGACATGTAAACCATGCCAATCAAAGACTAGAACACACACATCCAGTGGTCAATCAAATCTGGAATAAATGAGTTTTCATGAATTGGTTGAAGGATAAAAGGGAAGATACTTATCATATACTAACAGGACTGTTCAAAGCATAAAAGGGGACACAACAAAGGCACAAATATGGAAGCACCACAGGAACAGGAGACAAATGGAGAAATCAGGACGAAAGCCTGGAGAAAACACAAGGCACAGGGGAGGCGGTTACAGAAGGCTTTGAAGACTACAAGTGTGACCTTCATGAAAAAGGAGAGGGAACCACTGCAGAGACAAAAGAGGTGGGGAGATATACAGTGGTATTATGAATGGGCATAAGAGGGCATGGGCAGAACTGGAAGAGAGGAAAAACAAGAGACCAATAAGTGCAATCAGTGTAAGTAAGAACAGTGTGTCAGCTGGTTGTAGTTAATCATATGGCTCCAACATCATCTGACATGATGTTAAAAAATGGTCCCCATCTACACAGAGTGCTAAAATCATGCTTTATGCATGCTAATTAACACAACTCCTCATAACAACTTAATTTTCTAGTGAAGACGAGCTCTAACTGACAAGGATATCTTTGGGGGAAATCAACACTGAAAGCAGTGGGAGGAAACAGAATCAGGTGACAGAAGGCAGAAATGTTTCAATCATCAGGGAGCCTGCAAAATGTAGAAAACATTCTACAAATACATTAGAAGCAAGAGCAAGACCAAGAACAGAGTAGGCCCGTTACTCAACAAGAGGGGAAAGACAATAACAGAAAATGTGGAAATGGCAGAGGTGCTTAATGACTTCTTTGTTTCAATTTTCACCAAGAAGGTTGGTGGCGATTTGACATCTAACATAGTGAATGCCAGCGAAAATGAGGTAGGATCAGAGTCTAAAATAGGGAAAGAACAAGTCAAAAATAACTTAAGACAAGTTAGATGTCTTCAAATCACCAGGGCCTGATGATATGCATCCTAGAATACTCAAGGAGCTGACTGAGGAGATATCTGAGCCATTAGCAATTATCTTTGAAAAGTCATGGAAGACGGGAGACACTCCAGAACACTGGAAAAGGGCAAATATAGTGCCCATCTATAAAAAGGGAAATAAGGAATTCCCTTCGGGGAATTACAGACCAGTCAGCTTAACTTCTGTACCCAGAAAGATAATGGAGCAAATAATTAAGCAATCAATTTGCAAACACCTAGAAGATAATAAGGTGATAAATAACAGTCAGCATGGATTTGTCAAGAACAAATCATGTCAAACCAACCTGAGCGCTTTCTGACAGGGAAACAAGCCTTGTAGATGTGGGCGAAGTGGTAGATGTGGTATATCTTGACTTTAGCAAGGCTTTTGATACTGTCTGGCATGACCTTCTCATAAACAAACTAGAGAAATACAACTTAGATGGAGCTACTATAAGGTGGGTGCATAACTGGTTGGAAAATCATTCCCAGAGAGTAAACACAGTCATGCTGGAAGGGCATAACAAGTGGGGTCCTGCAGGGATCGGTTCTGGGTCCGGTTCCATTCAATAGCTTCATCAATGATTTAGATAATGGCATAGAGAGTACACTTATAAAGTTTGCGGACGATACCAAGCTAGGAGGGATTGCAAGTGCTTTGGAGGATAGGATTAAAATTCAAAATGATCTGGACAAACTGGAGAAATGGCCTGAAGTAAACAGGATGAAATTTAATAAGGACAAATGCAAAATACTCCACTTAGGAAGGAATAATCAGATGCACACATACAAAATGGGAAATGACTGCCTAGGAAGGAGTACTATGGAAAGGGAACTTGGGGTCATAGTGGATCACAAGCTAAATATGAGTCATCAATGTAACACTGTTGCAAAAAAAGCAAACATCATTCTGGGATGTATTAGCAGGAGTATTGTAAGCAAGACACAAGAAGTAATTCTTCCGCTCTACTCTGCGCTGATTAGGTCTCAACTGGAGTATTGTGTCCAGTTCTGGGCATCACATTTCAGGAAAGATGTGGACAAATTGGAGAAAGTCCAGAGAAGAGCAACAAAAATGATTAAAGGTCTAGAAAACATGACCTTTGAGGGAAGACTGAAAAAACTGGGTTTGTTTAGTCTGGAGAAGAGAAGACTGAGAGGGGACACAATAACAGTTTTCAAGTACATAAAGGAGGAGGGAGAAAAATCGTTCTTCTTAACCTCTGAGGTTATGACAAGAAGCAATGGGCTTAAACTGCAGCAAGAGCAGTTTAGGTTGTACATTAGGAAAAAATTCCAAACTGTCAGGGTGGTTAAGCACTGGAATAAATTGCCTATGGAGGTTGTGGAATCTCAATCATTGGGGATTTTTAAGAGCAGGTTGGACAACACCTGTCCAGGATAATACTTAATCCTGCCATGAGTGTAGGGGACTGGACTAGATGACCTCTTGATCTTCCTTCCTTCTATGATTCTATTATTCTAAAATAATTGTTGAATTGTTCCTACTGGCATGCAGGAGTTATAGCATGTGTACAATATCACAATATCTCTTGATAAAACAAGTAAATCCAAAGAAAGATAGTTTGCATAGTATTACAAAGTTTCCAGGATAGCCACAAAGCAATTTCCAAATCTCTTCTCAATTCCCTGGCTATTCTCCATTCCTTCCCTTTTCACAATATTTTAAAAAAGTATTGGGGGGACTTGCAGTTAATCAGGAAAGCTAAATGTCTGGCATAGCCCAGAATTAATTCCAGTGATTTCCCTCCTGTCCTGCAGATCACTATAACCAAATCCAGTATGCCAAAATCCAATATTTTCTTGGCATACCAGGTGCAGTAGATATTAACAACCTGTCAGTCTTTCATAAACATAAAATATGCTGTTAGGCTTCAATAATTTCCACTTTTCTTCAATAAATTTAATGTGGATTACATGACAGAAAACATATACAAAACTGACTCAAGTCTTTCAGAAAATCGCCATCTTGTACTGAACTACATTAAGGTAGAGACGTACACATTAAGTGACTACAGTTGAACCTTAGTTACAAACACCAGAGTTACAAACTCACCAGTCTACCATACACCTCATTTGGAACCAGAAATACACAATCAGGCAGCAGCAGAGACCAAAAAACAAAACCAAACAAAAAACCAAAACAACAACAACAACAAAAGGCACAGTACTGTGGTAAATATAAACTACTAAAAAAAAAAAGGAGCATTTTTCTTCTGCATAGTAAAGTTTCAAAGCTGTATTAAGTCAA